GTCCTCCAGGAACGGGGGTGCTGGAGAGGGGAAAATCAAGTAAAGGTGAGCAGAGGAGGCTAGGCAGGGCATTTCCCAACTCTCCCAGACCAGTTACCAGATACTCACCATTGCGGAACTGCTGGGCAGTGTAGCGAGTGAGGAGGATGCCAACACCCTCGATGAGGGCCAACAGGATGCCCCCCATCATTGCAGAGCCCACCATGGCCAATGGGCCACCTGGAGGAGCAAGGAGGCAGGGAGACAGGGGTGAGGGCTGGAAGAAAAGGGTAGAAGGGGCTGGGGCCTGGGCTCGGGGCACTCACTGCGGGCAGCCAGCACAGCCCCGGTCAACGCTCCACTGGTGATGGAGTTCCAGGGATCCTCCTTGCCCCGCAGCCGTACCAGGCCACAGTCGATGGTTGAGAACAGGCCCCCCCACACTGCAAAGCTACCTGCAGGGGGACAGAGACCCAATTAGTGTTCCTGGGGAATCCCAAGAATCCACAGCTCAGGGACTGGGGACTTCCAAGGCCTGAATGCTCTGGCAAAGAAAGAGGAGAAAAACCTAGACGCAAAGACAGATAGCAAACTCCTAGGGGATACTCCCTACCGCTGTCCCTGTGATAGCTACTTCTTCAAGCTGTCTCAAATTGCAATTGACACTCCCTTCTCCTTCATAGGGAGGTGACAAGTGTTTACAAGCACATTTACCTTCTATATGGCTTTTAACAGAGCAACTTCTGATCTGTTTCAGTGAGAAGCAAATAGGTTAAGGAAGCCAGTTAACAATATGACAGTTAAAATGTTTGCTGAGACCTTATTGTGTCCCAAGACCTAATCTAGGTACTGCAGGTTATTTGACTTCTAACTTTTTTTATTATTATTTTGTTTTATAATTTTTTTTTTAATCCTCACTCAAGGACTTTTTTTTTTTTTTATCCTCACCCGAGGACATTTTTCCATTTTTTGCTCAGGTAGAGTGGGAGGGAGAGAGAGGAACAGAGAGAGAGAGAGAAACATCGATGTGAAAGGGACACATCGAGTGGCTGCCACCCGCACAACCGACCAGGGCCGGGGACAAACTGCAACCAAGGTACGCGCCCTTAGCGGAACCGAATCCAGGTCTCTCAGGACCGCAGGCCGACGCTCTAACCACTGAGCCAAACCGGCCAGGGCTCAAGGACATGTTTGCATTTATCTTCAGACAGAGCAGGAGGGAGAGAGGGAGGAAGGGAGAGAGAGAGACACATCGACTAGTTGCCACCCACATGACCCCAACCAGGGCCAGGGACAAACCACAACCGAGGTCCGTGCCCTTAGCGGGAACCAAACCCAGGTCTCTCTGGACCACGGGCTGACGTTCTAACCGCTGAGCCAAACCGGCCAGGGCTATTCTTATTTTTTTTAATATATTTTTATTGATTTTTTTTTTAGAGATAGAGATAGAAAACATCAATCCACTGAGCCACACTGGCTGGGTGACTTGTAACATTTTAAATTAGTTAATATTATTATTAGTTTTTTGTTAATCCTCATTTAAGGATATTTTTTCCATTAATTTTTAGAGAAAGTGGAAGGGAAAAAGGGAGGAAGAAAGAGAGCGAGAAACATCGATGTGAGAGACACGTTGATCGGTTGCCTCCCGCACATGCCCCCAACCAGGGCCAGGGATTGAACCTGTAACCCAGGCACATGCCCATGACCAGAAATTGAACCCGCAACCCTTTGGTGTGCAGGCCAACACTCTAACCACTAGGCCACACTGGTCAGGGCAAATTAGTTAATACTCTTAAAGTGCTTAGCAGAGCAATTAGCACTTAGTAAATGCTATGTAAATTACAAAATGACTGGGGTGCTTACTGCTATCATCATCCCCATGTTACAGATGAGGTTTAGAGAGGTTAAGCCACTATCCCACAGTCACATCAGGAAAGAGCCAGGGTCTGGATTTAAACTCCAGAACTCGCCCATATTAAACTGTTGGGAAACGTCACCCCCCAAGAAGTCGCAGGCAGGATTGGGCTCAAATGTGAACCTCCAACTTGAGGACTAGACCCAAAGCAACAACCACCGCCAACTCTGCCATCACATCTCCTGTCTCCCCAGGCCTCTCACCTCCGATCTGAGGGGCTCGGATCCTCACAGCGTTGACACTACCTCTCAATCGGTGCCGAATTCCCTGGGGAAAGTGAGGAGGAGAGTCAGAGCAGGGCTGAGACCACTGGCAGACAGGGTTTTTAGCTTTTCAGAGAGGGAAGGGGGTGGGAGTCCTGTCAGGGTTATTCAGGGGTAGAGACTTAGAGACGCAGCCAAGAACTAGGGGACTGAAAAGCACCCCAACACAAGTATTATCAAAGCTGGGTTGAGGAGTTCTCATCCACCTATCCATTCTTCCATTCATTCAATGATTACTGAGCATCTACGTGCTAGGCACCATGCTGTATGCAGGGATTGAGTAGTAAACAAGGTAGACCTGGTCCCTGCCCTCTCATAGCTCCCATTCTAGTGGGACAGAGAGATCCTGATGAGCAAGGGTATAGATGAGCAAGTCAGCCTCAAACAGTAATATGCATCCCAGAGGAAATAGGACTGAGATACGATAGTGGCTGAGGAATAAGAAAAGACCTCTTTAAGGAAGGGGCATTTGTGCTGAGAACTTGAGGATGAGAGGGAGAAACTTGGGTAAAGATCCAGGAAAGAGTTACAGGAGTTGAGGAGAGGGATGGGGAGAGATACATAAATTGCAGAGACCTTGGCAAATATCTCCAGGAAGGAGATGTCAGAGAGCGAGACAGGATTGATTATGTTAAATTAAAAACATTTTCTTAACTTTAAGGCTGTCTTCCCTCTGACAGTTAAACTCCTGTCACTTCCCTTTATCCAGGTTTCTGACCCAGAATCTGCCTCTAGGTAAAATCTGTCTGGCTCTGCACACATATAGAATTTGGTGATGTGGATGAAAAAAAGGGCTCTGTAATAAAATCTAACCAAAAGTAACCACACAGGATGATCTGATCATAAATTCCTAACTGGAGGTCATGGTGGGTAGTAATTTCCCTAGTAAAAAAGGTTATCTCTGCCTTAAGTAAGCCCTGTGCATTGTTTCTGTGCATCTAGGTTAACACATCTTTAAAATCTTTTCAGACCCTCAAGACAGCACATACTCTTAACTATCACGTAATCCAACTATAGGTATTTCCTTGCTTTGCTTCCTCCCATATCCATGTAATCTTCCCTATGTTCACCCCTTAATTCCAAATGAATAAAACTTCAAACTGTCATTCTGGGAAGCATTTTTCTCAGTCTGTTGAGATCTTGTTTCCAGGCACATCCTCTATTTGGCTCAAATAGTCTAATGAACTTTTGCAAAATTTTTCTATAGGTTTGAACACTCTTATATCAACAGTGATGATAGTTTTTACAGCAAAGCATGTCCACAGAGGAGCTAGCTCCAGTGGGTTAGGGATGAGGGACACAGGCCATGTTTGTAGTTCCCCAAAACCCCAGATCCTGGAGTCAGGCCTGGCACATAATACACAAACAGGCACCAGAATGATTAAGTGCATGTAACTGACAGCTCCAAGCAGTTTTCAGAGCAATACATCCTGTGCTGGCAGGGCAGGAGCCCCACACCACCCAGGGAAGGCCAGGACTCACGACAGGGGCATTTCGAAAGCCCTTGATGGCTTGGAAAACTCCACCACCTATGACACCCATAGTGAAGGCTCCACCGCAATCATCCACAATTCGCCATGGGCTGCAAGTGTAAAGGGGAGAATGGGGTTAATGTGAACCCTCCTCCTATGCCATGACACAAGGACTCTTTCCAACTGGAGAAACCAAATCACCCAAATGGGAAGTAGCATTTCAGATGAGATTATTTTCCCCCTCATTTAAGCAAGAAATAGTGCAAGGAGGGAAATATATTCGTCTTTGCCCTTTCCACCCCCCCTCCTTCGCAGTTAAGCAAGGAATTAGCCAACCGCTTTACTATCAAAGAATAAATGAACTGATATGCACAAAGAGTTGGCACGTTTAAATAATCACAACAGAAATGTTAACTGGCTAGTATTATCAGTGTTAACTAGCTAGTGTTAACTGGCTAGTATTGTAGCACCCCCCCTCTCCGAAAATGAGCACGTCCATCCAAGCCCCGCCCTCTCCCCCCGCGCTTTAAACCTCGCACAACTGGGAAAAACCAAGAGGGCGGTGGGGAGGATCCAGCACCACCTCCCTGTTCGCAATAGGCTCCTCCAGGTCCCACCCCCATTCGGTAAAGCAACCTGGGAAAAACCATCCGTGGTCGCCCTGGGGATTTCTGCTCAAAACGGCGCCACCCCTCGGCAAGAATGGATTCGACCAGCATGTCTCTTTTCGTTAACAAAGACGGAGGGAGATATGGGGTCAGGGAAAACGTGAAGTGGTTCATCCTGCACCGCACCTTCTCCTGGAACATGGTTGTGGCCCCTCTTAACGGAGCCCGAGTGGGAGGGACCAAATGGAGGGGAACCGGGAAGAGACAACTAACCGTCTCCGGAGTCTGGGCCATGACGCTGTGGGGCCAGTGCCTCCCCCGCCCGCCTCCCATAGCTGGCCGTGGTGCCGCAGGGACAGTCCCAAGGCCTGTTCCCATCGCCGTACCAGGGCTCCCGAGCGTACTCCTCCATGGCGCCGGCGTCCAGCCGCGCAGTCCGCCTCAGCCCGACTGGGCCACGCCCCCACTGTAAACGCACACAGGCGCCCGAGCTCCTACCTATCCCACGGCCCCATTAGGTTGCTGCGACCTACGTCAGGCCAATGGTGCACTCTCATTGGCTGCCCAGAATGCGTCATCTGTTTTCGCAGCCTGAGCATCGTCCAGTTTATTTCAAGTCTTGGGGAGAGAGGATCTCTCTTTGTGCTTTGGGAGAAAAGAGTAGCGTGGTCCTGGTGATTCTAGCGGCGACAACAGCGAGGCAGCCTGACTCACAGCTTTCCACTACCCGCGTGACTCTATTGGTAATGTCGAGGGGTGTGCGTATTTTGGAACTGGAGGAGGTGCTACACTGTGCACCCCCATCCAATCTCTTTGGTTCCTCCCACCCGTCAGTCTTTGTGGGACGTTGGGTAAGACCATTTCTGGGGCGTGGGGGAGTCGCGTTCGACCCCTGCGGCGATGGGCGGAGCCGGAGCCTGGGCCTGGGCAAGGAACTGGGTTCTGGAACGTCTGTTCTGGATAGGAGGGTTGGTGAGAGTTTTGGTGATATTGCCACCTCTCTCTCCCAACTTTGAACACAGCTTTCGTCTGCCCAGGTAGTGGTGCAGGTGGGGAGGTGGTAGGGGTCCAGATGAGCACATGCTGGGGGGAGGCGGTTGGTTACAGGATCCAGACTCAAATTTTCATGTGAGCTGGTTTTTAATCTGTCTCTCCGTTCCTAGGTCTGTCTTCTACTCGCTATGCCGCTGCCCGTTGCTCTGCAGACCCGCTTGGCCAAGAGAGGCATCCTCAAACATCTGGAACCCGGTGAGAGACCTGAGAGCAGATGGGCCTACCATGTGCCAGGCTTGACAGGCACTTTGTTGTTGATTCTGCCATTTGAAACGGTGCATGGGCCTACTGTGCACCAATCAGTGGGGTGGCAGGCATTTCATTGTTAACCATATGGATTCCTGACACCCATTCCTACTGGATGCCAAGAATGGGGTGGGGGAGGGAACCCTGGGGAGATAGACATTTCATCCTTAATATTGAGAGCTGATACCTATTTGGGCCTACTGTATGCTGGATTCAGTGCATCCGTGGAAGTGATTACAGGGTATGTAATAGTAAGGATAGCTGTGATCTACTGCAGTCTTCTGTGCGACAAGGACAGTGGCAGGATGCTGGTACAGTGTTCCTTACCTTACTGATAGATTTTTTTTTCAGACTTACTGTGGTGCCAGGCACTGTACTGATGGTATATACATTATTGTTCATCATATCAATAGCTTATGTGTATTTTGGCTGTACTAAGTGCCTGGATACACATTATGTTAAGCCTATTAGGTGCCAGGCCCTGTGCACCTAATTTTTTTTCTGATAATATATATCTTATTAACAATACTGATTATTATAGCTGACATCTTTTTTGGGCCTACAGTGTGACAGGCATTATGCTGTTGCTGACATACATTTCATTCTTACTTATATCCACAGCTGAAGTCCATGATAGGCCTCCTGAGGGCCTGGTACTGAGCTGACAACATACACCTTTTTTATTGTACTGGTATATACATATATATATTTTTAATTCTCACTCGAGGACATTTTCCCATTTTTTGTTCAGATAGAGTGGGAGGGAGAGAGAGAGAGAAACATCAATGTGAAAGGGACACATCAAGTGGCTGCCACCCGCACGACCAACCAGGGCCAGGGACAAACTGCAACCGAGGTATGTGCCCTTAGCAGGAACCGAATCTGGGTCTGTCTGGACTGCAGGCCGACGCTCTAACCGGCCAGAGCTATTCTACTGATATTAACTGACAACTGTATGCATCGGGTCTCAGGAACTGAATGGATTCAGAGCAGTGTTTGGATAGATCCCTTGCTAGTCAAATTCTTGCTACTAAAAATACAGGAATCAGAAACCCCCTATTTGCCAACCTTGGGAGCTGAGTAGATTTGGACATTTTCAGCTAAATCTCTTGCTGTTTATTTTTTTTATTATTATTTTTAATCCTCACCTGAGGACATTTTTCAATATTTTGTTCAGATAGAGTGGGAGGGAGAGAGAGAGAGAGAAACATCGATGTGAAAGGGACACATTAAGTGGTTGCCACCCACATGACCCAACCAGAGCTGGGGACAAACTGCAACCGAGGTACACGCCCTTAGCAGGAACCGAACCCGGGTCTCTCTGGACCGCAGGCTGACGCTCTAACTGCTGAGCCAAACCGGCCAGAGCTCTTGCTGTTTATTTTTTTAATTTTTAACTTCTTATTAATCCTCACCCAAGGATACCTTTCCATTGATTTCCAGATAGAATGGAAGGGAGGGAGGGAGAGAAACATTGATGTGAGAGACACACGATTGGTTGCCTCTCGCGTGACCCCAACAGGCTGGGGATTGAACCTGCAACCCAGGTACATGCCCTTGACTGGGAATTGAACCCGCGATTCCCATCCATGGGCCGATGCTCTAGCCGGTGAGCGAAATGGGCCAGGACAAACTTCTTGCTGTTTAAACTCATTTTATCCAGCTAGTTTTTGGTAATGTGTTGTTATGTACTCCCTAAACTCAGGAACTGAAAAAATATGGATAAATCCCTATCTAAACTCTGAAAACCAAATAGGCTTGGGTAACAGTATATCTTACATGAACCCAGGAACAGAACAGGTTTCGGTACATACATGTGTTGGTAAGTTCGCTATTTAGATGCTAGGATTTGGAACATGAGTGCTATGTGCCGTGGCTGATGGGACCTGGCACGCATACGCATGTCTGTGTGAATGTGAGTGTCTCTCCAGGCCCAAACTGTAGGATGAGAATCCCTAATACTTACTGCTCTTCTCCTTTGCCTGTCCTGGCAGAACCAGAGGAAGAGATCATTGCTGAGGACTATGATGATGATCCTGTGGATTATGAGGCCACACGCTTGGAGGGCCTGCCACCAAGCTGGTATAAGGTGTTTGATCCTTCCTGGTAAGCCTGGAGATTGGCGCGGGGGGGTGTGATTTCTGATTTCACCTTTCTTGTGCTGTCCCCGACCTTGGGGAAATGGGGTACACAAGGGAAGAGATCTGGGGGTCCCTGACCTTGGGGAAATGGGGTACACAAGGGAAGGGATCTGGGGGTCCTCCCTGGGAGGTCCTGACATGAGGTAGGTATAGGCAGAGACTGGGAAACAGTTGAGGCTACAAGGGGAAGACATCTGTGCTGACACTTCTTCCCTCCTGCTGCCCTGCAGTGGGCTCCCTTACTACTGGAATGTGGACACAGACCTCGTGTCCTGGCTCTCCCCACATGACTCCAACTCCATCGTTACCAAGTCTGCTAAGAAGCTCAGGAGCAGTAATGCAGGTGAGTTGACAGGTCCAAGGGTGCCTCAAGTGCTTCTAGCATTTCTCAGAAAGGGCTCAGTAGATGATAGTGGATCCAGGAGGGGCAGGTGAGACCGGCAGACCCAGCCCTAGGCAAGAGAGGCTGGCAAAGGGAAAGGCTACTGAGGGTCCTGAGGTGGGAGGAGGAAGGTCACTTCAAGGCTTTAATGTCCCCAGATGCTGAGGACAAGTTGGACCGAAGCCATGAGAAATCAGACCGGAGCCATGAGAAATCGGACCGGAACCATGAGAAGTCTGACCGGGGCCATGAGAAGTCTGATCGGGGCCATGAGAAGTCAGACAGAGACCGAGAGCGTGGTTACGACAAGGTGGACAGAGAGAGAGAGCGGGACCGGGATCGGGACCGGGACCGGGATCGGGACCGGGACCGTGGGTATGACAAGGTGGACAGAGAAGAGAGCAAAGAACGGCGCCACCATCGCCGGGAGGAGCTGGCTCCCTACCCCAAGAGCAAGAAGGGTAAGCTGAGCGGGCCAGGACTGGGGTGAGGCAGCAAAGCACCAGGGGTGCACTGTGTACAGGAGCCCTTACTTCCCTTTATGCAAGTGCCTGAATCGGGCTTGGGAGAAGGTGCTGCAGCCATGGCAGCTGTGGGCTTCATTTTTCTTGTGATGAGGGAAGCTCAGCGATCAGGGGTCCTTTGTGCCTCCATTGCAGACCTTACTCTGCCACCTCCTTCCACAGTTGCAAGCCGGAAAGATGAAGAGTTAGATCCCATGGACCCCAGCTCATACTCAGATGCACCCCGGTAAGCGACAACCCTCGAGCCCTTTTCTTTCCTGGATTCCCTGCATGGGTGACCATTCCTTTCTGCTTCACAATCTCCTTCCCTGAGTTATCAGTTTGCTTGGAAGTGGGGTGCCTACCACATCCCACATTCCCACCCTCTGACCCTCTGTCACCCCCAGGGGCACATGGTCAACAGGACTCCCCAAGCGAAACGAGGCAAAGACGGGTGCAGACACGACAGCTGCTGGGCCCCTCTTCCAACAGCGCCCCTACCCATCCCCAGGGGCTGTGCTCCGGGCCAATGCTGAGGCCTCCCGAACCAAGCAACAGGACTGAACCCTTGAGGTTTTTAATAAAAGCTTTTCAGTGGATCATAACCCACCAGGCCAGAGTGCTTTCCTTCCTTTTCATTTTTATTTACTTATTTTTTTTTATCCTTACCCGAGGATATTTTTCCACTTTTTGTTCAGATAGAGTGGGAGGGAGAGAGAAGGAAAAACATTGATGTGAAAGGGACACATCAAGTGGCTGCCACCCGCATGACCCAACCAGGGCCGGGGACAAACCACAACCGAGGCACGTGCCCTTAGCGGGAACCGAACCCGGGTCTCTGGACCGCAGGCCAACGCTCTAACCGCTGAGCCAAACCAGCCAGGGCTTCCTTTGCATTTTTGAAGCTTTCCAACCCAAGGCGGCAAGATGCAAAACAGTTTATTTGCAAAAACTCACCTAAGAAATACTGTGGGGGAGCAGGGACATGGGGGCAGCAGGGGCTGGAGGCTGAGGTGGGTCCTGTATGGGCCCTCCTTACCAGAGAGTTTAGTCATGTCAGCCCTCTATGGGGTTGGGGGTGGTGGGGACAGGGGGTTTGGTGTCTGCCTCCCCCCACCCCTAATACTGATCAGAGTTTGGTCCTGGCTGGGCCAGGGCAAGAAGGGAGAACGAGGCCAGGCCAGCGTCTTCAGTCCCAGCAGCTACGAACCCTTCACCTTGGTGAGCAACCTGTGGTGGAAATGGGGAGGAAAGAAAAACACAGAAAGCTGGGGTGGGCTGGCAGGCAGGTGTCCTGAGCAAGCGAGGGAGACAGTAGTGAGGCTGGTAATCCTGGGGTTAGTAACAGAGCCCACATGTAGAGATCGGGTCCCCTGGGTCAGAAAGCTACACGTGGACTAAATAAATACAACATCTTTATTTGGCATTAGGTATCCTGACATTTGTTCATTACAGTTCCTTAGAAAACAAACCAAAAATCAGAACAAGTTAATCAAAAATAAAGATCCAACGGCCCTATTTACACATAGCAAAGCCCAGGCATCTCTCTCTCTCTCTCTCACACACACACACACACATACACACACACACACACGACAGTTAGGGGATTAATAAGCTTTGAGAAGTGCATGGGGCAGGTTCCATATTTCAGCAAATTTAAGACACCCCCCACCCCATGAAGTAAAAATGCCTCATTCAGCCAGTGGGGTAGTAAGTGTGGTTGGCAGCTTTATTTTTTTCTCAGGATGTCTCAGAAAAGAACCCTGTATCTGGCAACTGACAGTGTCTTAGATTCAATGAGATTCAGCCACTTCAAGGACCTCCCTCCCTGCTTTTCCCACACTCTGGATCATTATATGACTACACAAATCCCCAAACCACTAAAAACCAAACTGTGCCTATTTCTAGACCAGGCTGATGCAAAAATGTCAGCTCTCGCCCCTACCTCTCCCTGGGTGCTCACAAGAGACCCATTTTCTGGGATCTCAGTGTCAAGGAAGCTGCCTGAAGGCCACAAAAAGACAGGTGCTAACATGATCCAGTGTGATTGTGAGGGAGAAGGCCTAGAGCTATGGGAAATGAAACCCCACAGGTAGGCATCAGTCATTAAAAAGCTGTAGGATTTTTGTCCAATTTGTCCTTACAAAGGTGGAGGGACTCTCCCAGGAATGAGACAGGACACCTCTGGCTGAAGGAGGAGGGCAGACAAAAAGGCCTTAAATGACAATACCACCAACCTGGTCCTCAAAGGGGTTAGACTGGGGTGGAGGAGGTGGCTTAAAAAACCCCTCCAGAGGAGGGGGAGGTCAGCAGTCAAGAAAGGTCTCATGTAACACCTGCCCAGCCCCATGCCCTTCTGGAAGTCTCAACAACCTGGGATAAAAGACTTCCAACCCCAGAGGAGCCAGGCCCCAAGTAGCGACTTGGGTCCTGCAGATGCCCAACACCCTCCACCCAGTCCCCCACCCTGTCTTCCCATACCGCCGCCAGCCCTCACTTCACCAGCACTGACTTTGGCAGAAAGGGCTCCGTGCTGAGGTCTCCACGGTGGGAAGACAGCTGGGGTGGCGGTGGCTGCCCAGGAGGCTGCTGGTGAGTGCAGGGCCCGGAGGCAGAGGTGGAAGTGGAAGTTATGGCTTTGGCTGCACCTCGGGGAAGGCTGTAGAGGTAGACGGCGCCGATGACCAGCCCAGCGCCAAGAGCAAACAACGGGTCCACATGGAAGCCAAAGAGGCGGATGGAGGCAACAGTGGACAGCACGATGGACAGGGAGGTGGCAAAGCCCTTGAGGATGTTGTCAGCGTACTTGACAACCACAGCCACCAGTAGCCCACCAAAGGCCTGATTGAGCACCACGCCCCAGACAGCAGGCGTGTACCCGAAAAAGAAGCCGCGGTGGGCCACAGCAGTGCCCTCAGCCCACCAGAGCCCCACCAGGCCCAGTGCCGTGCCGAAGAGGCCCAGCTGCAGGTTGCGCAGCCACACAGAGCCTGAGCTGCCTTTGAGGATCTTCTCAAAGTAGACACCTGCGAAGCCTGAGGAGAGACAGGAGGCCACAACAGCCGCTAGGCCCACCCCAGGGTTCTGATCCAGTAGTCGTGGGCCCCCACCACCTGCTTGCTGTGCCTGGACAATGGCGACACCCATGAAGAGGAGCATCAGGGAGGCCCACTGCAGCCGGGAAAGGCTGCGGTTCAGCATGAGCACGGAGAACAGGGCTGTAGTCAGGATCTTCAGCTGGTACGTCACCTGCGAGTGGCATGTGGAAGGCACTGAGGGCTGCCACTGACCCCCAACATGTGCACGTGGGGGACAGCACCCACTATGGGCTCCCAGGCACAATGGGGGGACAGGGTAGGGTAGATAACAATAAAAACAGCAAAAATATCCAGCCACTGGCCATTGACTGAGATGTAGCTAAATAGCTCTGCGGTACCTCCCAGAAGGTACACAGGAGGGTGACTGTACAAGGAAGTCCCCAGCCACACCCAAGCCCATCCCAACCCCATTTCCTGGCTATGTGATGAGGGGGAAAGCACTTGCTGTCTAAGCCCTGACATCATCTACTGTAAAATGTGGCTGGTGTATGTCAAACACCTCACACAGAAAGTAATGAATGAATGGTAGACATCATGACGAGGGAGGTCTTGATCAATACCTGTTGATGCAAATAAGTCCACCACAAAATATCAGCAAACTATGTGCCAGATGTGGGTCTAAGCACTTTATGTGAATTCTTGCATTTAATCCTCATGTATGAAGTATGCACTATTGTAATGTATGATTTAAAGATGAGAAAACTAAGAAATAGGGATTTTAAGTGACTCACCCAATATCACACATCACGCAGCTAGAAAATAGAGCTGGGATTTTAACACAGGCAGCCTGGCCCCAGAATCCAGGCTCTTGAACCATTTCATAGGGCTACCTGCAAATAGCCTAAAGCTAATCTATCACTAACCAAGGGCTCTTCCCAGGTGTAATATCTTTTAATCATCCCAGCATCCCAGTGAGTAGCTATTGCCATTTCTCACAGATGAGGAAACAGAGGTCAAGGAAGTTCCAAGGATATCCCCAAGGTGATACAACTCCTGCCCTCTACAGCCCACCCCCCACCGCAGCCAGTTCCTCCCGTGCCATGCTGGGCTTGGGGCTCACCTGGAAAGTGGCAGCTGGCAGGTTGGAGATGGCAACATACTGGAGGTTATTCTGCAAGGTGTAGATGAGAGAGGGCACTGCAAGCTTGAATGTGTCCACATACTGCACCAGGACAGCCTCGTGGAGGAAGAGAACCAGGTGCTTCACGTTACCTTGGTGGGTGAAGGAGAGCCTTTTTTTAGCACTGACTACCAAAGATAGGGATCCTCTGAGGACTGGGACTGGGCCTGGGCCTGTGTCTCCCCACCACACTCGGACTCCCCAAGGGCTAAAATGAGGTCTGTGCTCTCAATTTCCCTACAGTATAAGCACATCTCCAGTAGTTTTTTTTTCGGATACTCAGCTGAATAAACAAAGTAGTCCATTAACAATGGACTTAACACTGTGTCTGAGAATCACAGGCCATATCTCATTCATCTTAGAGTCTACCTCCTGGCACAGGGCCCCATTCAGGGCAAGCACTCAATACACACTTGGACAATGAACAAATCAGCATTAATTAGGATCTTGTGAAGCAGATGCCCAAGGAGTATAGGTGGAAGGCTGTTTACCAAAGAGGGAAAGTTTTAGATTCCACTTGTAGAATTAACCTGGCTCCTTACTGGCCTGTGAGCAGCCCGAGGGGCCATCTCCCACTTAGATGCATCTTTCTGGCAGCCCTACACACACCAAGCAGTTGCCCCTGACACATGGAACTATGCAGGTTCGAATAAGCAGAAAGTCTAGTTGGGACCTACTCTAATCAATAAATGACTATACTTTTCTATATAATAAGGCCTTTGCAAAGCTCACCCCACTCTTTTTTGCAGTTCAGCTTCACTCCTCAAGAAAAACCCAACTATTGCACAAGATTATCACAGGAACTGTTGATGCTCGCTCACATTCCCTGTCCTTACCTTTCATGGCATTAATCCCAGGAGTAATTATCAATGTCTAACCCCTTACCCAACTTTCCTTGGCCCAGCTGTTTGGGTGTTCAAAAATTTACAGGTGTTAGAAATGTAACATTGTATATATACAATATATTTCATATAAGACACCCCACATATATAGGCTACACATCATAATCAAGCACATTCATATTTCCACCAAATGACAAAAATAAAAAACACAAATATATAAATAGCCCCACATCAGGTTAGGCCACATTTTACTACCAAACTAATTCAGGAAAAAGAAAAACGAGGGGCCTGGCCGGTGTGGCTCAATGAATGGTTGAGTGTCAACCCATGCACCAAGAGGTCACCAGTTCAATTCCTGGTCAGGGCACATGCCCAGGTTGTGGGCCCGATCCCCAGTGGAAGGCATGCAGGAGGTGGCCAACTGATGTTCTCTCTCATCAATGTTTTTATCTCTCTCTCTCTCCCTTTCTCTCTCTCTAAAATCAATAAAGAAAAATATATTTTAAAAAAAGGAAAAAAAAATGGGGGGGATGTGAAATTGTAGTTAAGAGATGAAAGCCTGGGATTAAGTCTGCAGCTATTTGTTTCTCCTTATCTAAAATATCAGCCCTGTCTGGCCAGTGTGGCTCAGTGGTTGATCGTCGACCCATGAACCAAGAGGTCGCCAGTTCAATTCCTGGTCGGGATACAGGCCCAGGTTGTGGGCCCGATCCCCAGTGGGGGGCATGCAGGAGGCAGCCAATTGATGTTCTCGTTCATCGATGTTTCTGCCTCTCTCTCCCTCTCTCTCTAAAAATCAATAAAGGAAAAAAATTAAAAAACAAACAAACCCTAGATGCCTCTTACCTACCCGTTATTTAAAAAATAAAATATCACACCCTGGCCAGTTTGGCTCAGCGGTTAGAGCGTCTGTCTGTGGTCCAGAGAGACCCCTGTTCTGTTCCCACTAAGGGCATGTACCTCGGTTGCGTTTGTCCCCGGCCCTGGTTGGGTTGTGCAGGAGGCAGCCACTCAATGTGTCCCTTTCACATCGATGTTTCTCTCTCTTCTTCTCTTTCCCTCCCACTCTATCTGAACAAAAAATGGAAAAATGTCCTCAGGTGAGGATAAAAAAATAAAAAATCAGCCCTATGAGGGCAAGATACATGTCTGCCTCTACAGCCAAAGCAGGACCTGGTATGCAGTGTTCACTAGAAATCAATCAGCAACAGAGCAGGTAGGTCCCTAAACTGTTGCTTCCCAGGGCCCTGGAGCTAATGAGTGGGTAAGAAAGTATTTTTCAATATAAGAGCCAAGGGCATAGCCCCATGCAAGGCCTTTATAGAGAAATGACTGGGCAACATTTTAAGAAGGCCTTCAGGGAGGTGTTTAAATTAGTAGATAAAGCCAACTTATAGGAAACACAGAGGATGGAAGAAAATGTTAAATGATACTACAGGGAGACAGCAAAATCCAGGTTACCCAAAGTCTATATAAGACAAATGACCTGATTTCTTCAATTAACTACAAAGAAGAAGAAGAAAAAAAAAAAGAGTTAGAGGGAAACCTTGAGGTTAACAAACTCAGAAGACAACCAATTACAAAGCACTGATCTTGATAGAAACTTGATTCAAACACTCATAGATACAGAGAGCAGATTGACAGCTGTCAAAGGGGCAGGAGTTGGGGAACTGGGTGAAAAAGGTGAAGGGATTAAGCAAAAAAGTATAAACCTCATAGACAACAGTATGGTGATTACCATAGGAAAAGGAGGGTGGGGAGAGGTATAGGAGATGGTAAAGGAGGGATAAATGGTGATGGAAAGAGACTTGACTTGGGGTGGTGAACACACAATACAATATACAGATGACAGATTATAGAATTGTACCCCTGAAACCTACATAATTTTATTAACCAATGTCACCTCAATAAATTCAATTAAAAAAAAAAACCACAAAATTTGATTCAAACAAATTTTTCAAAATATTTATGACACTTGAGCCCTGGCTGGAAAGGGACACATCGATGTCTCTCTCTCTCTCTCTTCCTCTCTCTCCTTCCCACTCTACCTGAACAAAAAATGGAAAAATGTCCTCGGGTGAGGATAAAAAAAAATAAAAATAATAAAGTACTGCCCTGTGGACCAAAGAGCCGCGGGTTCGATTCTAGTCAAGGGCATGTACCTTGGTTGTAGTTCGGTCCCCAGCCCTGGTCGGGGTTGTGAGGGAGGCAACCAATTGATGTGTCTCTTTCACATCAATGTTTCTCTCTCTCTCTCTCTCTCCCTCCCTCCCTCCCTTCCTCCCTTTCTCCCACTCTGTCTGAAAATAAATGGAAAAATATCCTCAGGTGAGGATTGAAAAATAAAAAAATTAATTAATGTTTATCACACGAGAAAACTAGAATATTTGGACATTGACCGAATATTTGATTATTTTGTTAACTTTCAAAATTATTAATTTTAATGTATAATTTTAGATATTAGTTTTTTTTTTCTTTTTTTATCCTCACCCGAGGACATTTTTCCATTCTTTTGTTCAGGTGGAGTGGGAAGGAGAGAGAGAGAAACATCGATGTGAAAGGGACACATCAAGTAGCTAGCTGCCACCCGCACGACCAACCAGGGCCAGGGACAAACTGCAACCGAGGTATATGCCCTTAGCGGGAACTGAACCCGGGTCTCTCTGGACCGACTCTCTAACCGCTGAGCCAAACCGGCCAGGGCAGTTATTTTTTAAATGTACCAAAATATATATTCAAGATAATAAGGGGGATTTACTTCAAAATAATACTTCATGTGGGACACAGGGAAGGTCCTCAAATAACATTGTTTTGTTCAATGTCATTGTGTTACAACTGTTGATGAGATGCCCAGGAACTTTACTCGTTTGTATCAATTAGCCTATAGTAAAATTGGTTCCATTATACATCGTTTTGTTTAAAGTTGCTGAACCTATGGATGACGTTAAGTGAGGACTTATTGTACTTCAGTATAATAAGGGGGTAGGTAGGCAGACATATAGATTGGTAGTGAGTGGATAATCACTGATGCTATTTAATGGCAGAGTGGCCATGAGTTGATAATTGTTGAATCTGGGTGATGAGTACATGGATATTTTACTATTTTATCATTCTCTCCAATTTTGTGTTTGAAATTCTCCATAACAAAAAGTTAAAGAGCCTTAGCCAGTTTGGCTAGGCAGTTAGAGCGTTGGGCCGTGGACCAAGGGGTAATGGGTTCGCTTCTGATCAAGGATGCGTATCTGGGTTGCGGGTTCAATCCCCAGCTCTGGTCGGGGTCATGAGGGAGGTGAACTGATTGATGTGTCTCTCTCATATTGATGCTTCTCTCTTTCTCCCCCTTCCTCCCACTCTCTAAAAAATTAATGGAAAAACATCCTCGGGTGAGGATTAACCAAAAAGTAAAAATAAAAAATAAAAATAAAACTGTTAAAAAAATTGAAATAATAAAAAGTTAAAAATAAATAAATAAATCATCACGTAAGGGTCAGCTGCTACTTATGGACACAGACTGTCTCACTCATACAGTCCCCTCAGGCTAGCTCCCAGGGGGATTTGGGTATAACAGTGGATGCAGCTACTCAGAGCTAGAGGAACAAGGCAGCTTGGTTGTACTTACACACTTCCCAGGCAGTTTTACAGACAGACAGTTACTCCCCCAGCAAACCCTCCATGTGGGTGCAGGTGTATGTACACATGCACACCACACATGCAGAGTCCTACCCACCCACTCCAGTGCAGCCCCCCTCTCTAACTCATACCCCTCTTCTGTGCGAAGAGCAGCAGCAGGCAGGTGAGACCTTTGAGCACCTCGGCCATGACCACAGCAGTAGTGGCAAAGAAGCGGTCGCCAGGCAGTGTGCGGGTGTAGCGGATGCTGAGGATAAGAGAGGCATTCTGGACCACCAGCACAGCTAGGGATATGTATTTGAGGCGCCGGTGAGCTGTGGGGAATGAAAGGAGCAAGGGGGAAGAAGGAGTCAGAAGCGGCTTAGGGCATAGCCACACCACCACCTTCCCCTCTCCTTTTTCAACCAGGATCCTCCTAGCCACCACTGCTTTCTCCTCCTTCTGCCTGTCCATCCTGACCCAATAAGGGTCTGACTCTTGCTCCCACTGCCTCAGTCACAGGAAGAAGAGCCAGAAAGGTAGAAGTGGGCGGGGCCCATACCTGGAATCCTTCATGAGGTGTCAGGAAATGGCTAGGGCAGGCCTTGGACACCCCCCACCCTTCCTCTGAGTGAAAAGCAAGTCTCTCCCACAAAAATACCAACCACATTCTCAACATTTATTGAGTACTTACTGTGTGCCTATCACTGGGCTGAGGAATTTATATGAATTACCTCAACAGACTCCTGTATTGCTCTGATTTCCAAAGGAACTATAGAGATTATCATCTTATGAATGAGCAAACCAAAACTATATATGAAATGTTGCTTCTATTTAATGAGGGTTTGTCCCATGTACAGGGAATGAGACCACTATATAAGGCAAGTCCACCCCCTCAGAAACAGTCTTTCTCCCAACTAAGCAATTATTTCATTCCCTCACACTTAGAATGGTCTCTCCAACCCCTCCCTCCTATGAGGACAGATTCCTTCTGACCCAAAATAATCTAACAAATAAGAAATGATTTCCATGCTGTCCCAAGGAATGAACCCTATATAATCAATGATTACTTCACCAAAAATGGTCTGGTCTCTTCAATGATATAAGGAAATATTCCCCTATACTACACATGGTCCAGTCCTCCAATCGTTGTATCCCCCTACCTCCAGCCAAGGAATTATTCCTTGCTTTACTCACACAAGAAACAATCCTAGCTATAAGGAAGGGCCCGGCACCCTCAGAAAGTCCTTTCTCTGCCATATAAGGAAAGACCCCCCCCAACATATAATAAACTCTACCTCCATTAGGAGGGGACTCCCAGAACGGACTGCTCCCCATATAATGAAGGACATCCCCATCTTCAAAATGGACTCTCTAAGTCACATAAGGAAGGACCCGCCCCACCCTAACTCACAATAGTCCCTGTCTTTTATAAGGAAGAAACCACCACCCTCAAAACAGCCTCTCCCTTCTATAAGGAAAAACTCCTCCACTCTTTGAATAGTCTCTTCCTTCTATAAAGAGAATCTGTCCCACCCTCGGAATGGTCTCTCCCTCCCATTAAAACCGACCCCCCACACACTTAGAATGGTCTTAGCTTCCCCAAAAGGAAATATCCCCCTAGACTCAACATGGTCTCTATTCTCCAGGTGCAGAAGGGACCCCCACCACCACCCTCAAAATCGGTCTCTTTCCTGCCCCCAACACACTCACAATGGTCTGTTCCGTCTTCCCTCCCCCACCCACCCTCATCCCCCGCTACACACATAGGTCGGTCCATAAGGGATGCTCTCTCGCTTCAGTGAGGAACCTTCCTGACGCCCCCCAGCGATCCTGACCCCTGCCCTGCCGCTGACCGCTTGGCCACAACCTGTCTCACCCGCACTCACGGTACCAGGTTCCAACGACCCCGCGGAGACCGCCCCTGGCCCGGCCGCCGCGGTCGAACCACCAGACCCAACCGTTGCCATGTTGGCATCTGTCTGGCCCGTCCCCTCGGCAACAGCAGGCCACTTCCGTATCTGTCACTTCCGTTTCCGGGCCGCAGGGGTGAGGGCTGACCAGAGCAGTGGTCTTCCTTGTCCGCTCCTTAACGCCAAGTTATGACAGAGGCCTCGTGACTCCCAAATTCCATCAGGATAGGGAGAACGGGCATGCAGCCACCTCAGCCTCTCATCTCTGCAGCTTCTTCGGCCTCCTCCCGTTACTAGACCCGCCCCCTTCATTGATTCCGCTTTCATCACACGCCCACCCAGTCTCCTCGTCTCATTGGTTCAGTTGCCCCGCTCTTATCTCAGTCCTTTATTGGCAGAGTCTTCCGATGGCACCGCCCTTTCCACATCAAAACTAGGTTTTTCCTGGTTGGACTGAAGTTCCTCTTTCGCCTCTCCCGGTGAGGACCCGCCCCCTTGAGAAGCCTGCAGGCTTTTGGAAGCGAAATGAGACTTTGAGGAGGCGGGGCAGGTGAGGGTCAGTCAGGTAAGGTAGCAGATAAAATCAGGGCAGTTTAGGATATGCAAGTGAAAAGGCACAGGAGAGTTTAATTGAGACCAAGAAGGGATGGCAAGTAAGCCAACACTGAGATGGAAAAGAACTGAGGAATGGACTGGTAAGCCAGCAGGTGAAAGACTTACAGGTTAGCTTTTCAAAGCAGGGCGAGAGGGTACAGCTGAGGTGGGGACAAGTGAAAAGCAGACAGAGTAGGGCAAGTACGTCAAGAATTGAGGAAGGAGAAATGAGCAGTTAAGGAGAGAAGGGAGAGGCGAAAAGGTAAGGGCAAAACAGGTGTCTTACATCCTGGTTGTTAGAAACCATGGAAGGCCTGGGAAGATTCCTGTCTGCAACTAAACCTAGCCCCACCCTCACCAATGCCCTGAAAGGGCTTTTCTTCCCCCATGAGGAAAGGATTTATTTCCTCCCTAGGACTGGGGAAGTTTTTTCTGTCCCTGAGGTAGCCATCTTTAATTGGGGATGTGTCCCAAATGTCTTTAGTGTCTTATCTCCAATGGAGCCCTTCTGCACATACTGGGCATTACATAAGAGCTGAGGGGGGAGGGTGTCAACAGTTTCTATTTGTGATCCTGTTTAAATGAATCCATAAAAGATCTTTAGGATGGCACCACTAGACAGGCTTCCTGAGGGCAGAGGTGAGATCCAGTCATCTCCCTCTTGGCTCAGCATGCAGTAGATGCTCCACAAATGCCTCACTGCAACTGCAACTACAACTGGCCAGTCACTTGTGATTCTATTACGTTTATTAAATAGTGGGTTTCCACACATGGCTTTTTAAATAATCCAGGCAAGTGGAGAAGGGAGAGGATGACACAGTTGGAGCTCCCTTCCTCCCAATACATAAGTATTTACATTTCAGCAACTGGACAATCCTGGCTCAGAAGGAGGCAGCAAGAATCCAAAAAAAGGTGGAGGGGGAGGCCCCAGGAGAACAAACAACAAGACTTATTTCCCCCACCCCATCCCCCCCAAAAAACCATCCACCCCATCCTAGTGGACTCTGGTGGTGTCCATCTCCCATTCCTTCCCAAATGTTGGAAGTAGGGTTTCTCCTCACCAGAATAAGAGCACTTGGAATAAGAGAGTAGGGTCCCTTCACCAAAAAAAAAAAAAAAAAAAAAAAAAAGCCCTGGGATAACAATAGGGCATCACCTCCCCCAGAATAAGCAACCCTGGGCTGAGGTAGGAAAGCAGCTTGACTGAATATGGAACCCTAGGCTAGAAGAAAGAGTCCCTTTACTAAAATAAGAGCTGCTGGGGTATTCAAAGGAAAGCACCCTTGCCCAAATTAGAGCATTTGAACAAAGTTTGTGTGGTGGTAGCAGGCAGGAGGTGCCAGTGTAACGGTTGTAACACATCAGAATAAGAGTCCTGGGGCTCAGAATGGAATTAACTTCAATCAAATAAACATCCTAGGAAAAATGAGAAACAAGGAAGTCCCACCTCCAGAATAAAACTGTAAATTCTGGGAGGAAGGCTCCTTAATAGGATTGGGATGGGGACTGGGCAGACTTGGCTCATGTTTTCTGACCCCGATCCCCAATCTCTGACCCTAGTAACACTGGATTTTTAATGACCTGTAAAACCAGATCAACAGATGTCCTTTTATCCCTGTGGCAAGGCCAGGGGATGGCTATCCCAACTAGGGCAGCAGGGACCAGGCCAAAGGGGTAGGACCCCCTTTAGGGGGGCTGGGGGGTGCATCCTCGGCTGGTGTCTGCATCCAGGGATCCAGCAGGATCTCCTCCAGTGAGGGTCGGGCAGAAGGTTTAGGGTCCAGGCACCGGCGGATTAGAGCACAACAGTCTGCAGGTCAGAAAAACACAGGAAATTAGCAGTTAGTTGGGGGTACCAGTCCCTGGCAGGTATGGAGTCCACTGGGCTAGGGCCAGTGAGGGCCTCACCTGGGGATACATGGTCAGGGAAGTGGAGCTCAGCCTCCAAAATTTCCTGGTCCCTCTCGAAGGGAATGTCCCCGCATACCATGTCATAGAGAAGGATACCCAGTGACCAGACAGTGGCTGGGAGTGCATGATACTGGTGACGAGAGATCCACTCCGGGGGGCTGTATACCCTTGTCCCTGCACACAAGCCAGGTGTTAGACCACTGTTAATGCCCTTCTTCTCACCCAACCCTCCACAGAAAATATGGTCCACAATAGGAACTCTTTAAATATGACAGCAGGGTCTCATCACCAGAATAAGAGCAGTTAAGATAGCAGAGTCACCTCACAGAACAAAAGCACTTAGAAGTAAAAGTAGGCTACCCTTACCAGAAAACACTCAGGAAACGGGATCCTCTCATCAGAATAAGAGGTCAGAACAAGGTCAGGGCACTGTGAGATGGGCTTTAACAGGATAAGGCATGAGAGCCTTCAATATTAAAAATCAAGAACCTTATAAAGGTGCGATGTATATCAAGGGTTACAGAACACCCCAGCACTGGAGATTAAAGGTCAAGCATCCATAAAGATAAAAGGTAAAAAAAAAAAATCTCCCCACTGAGATTTAGGGAAGCCTTACCATCAAAGTCAGTGTAGGGTTCATCATGAAGCAGGGATCCAGAACCAAAGTCAATGAGTTTGACACAGACTCGGCGGAGGTCTATCAGGATGTTCTCATCCTTGATGTCACGATGGACAACTTCACGGGCATGGCAGTGCCTAACAGCTGCCACTACCTGGGCAAAGAGGTAGAGGCTTCGACCTTCACCCAAGGGGCCCTGTTCTGTGATGTAGTCAAAGAGATCCTGGGCAGGCAAAGGCTGCCGGAGGACCAGCATGAAGCCCTCTGGTGTCTCAAACTAGTCAAGCAAGCAGATCACCCCAGGGTATCCACCACCTGTTCCCTCCTTCCTTAGCAGTGCTACTTCCAGTGGGCATGTGACTGAGTCTGACTGTGGGAGGAAACAGGGAGAAGGGAACACAGACATTAGACCAGTAGTTCTGAGGCTGACTTCTTGCCTGAATTTAAATCACAGCCGCTCAGCCTCCTGACTAGGTGGGTTTTGAGCAAACCAGTTCCTTCCCTGGGCCTCATTTTCCTCATTTTAAGGGCTCAAACTCAAAAAGCTATTGGGAAGGTGATTAAAGCCAAAAGCCTATGCACATCTGACATGTAATAGCTCAGTAAATATTTGAAAAACAAATAAAAGTGGTTCTTAATGAAAGACTATTATGGAATATTTTATCTGTTTTGTTCACTGACATCTCCAAAGAGTTTGGAACAGTACCCTATATACATAGGTGCTCAATAAATGTTAAATAGATGAAACCACTTTATAGCATCTGGTAGAGTTAGCACTAAATAAATACTATTACTGTGTAATGGTTTCTGTTTTGCTCACTGACATAGCTCAAGCACTAGTAGTGCCTGGTAACAGGGTAGGGCTCAATACATAGTATGAGTTAAATAGGGGAAAACAATTAGTAGAGAAAATCCTACCACAAACCAAGGTCTCAATGAAGATATTTTCCCCAAGTGCCTAGAACTGTGTCTGGCACAGAAAGTGAGCAATTGTAAAGGAACAGGCACAAAGTAAGAACTCGATGTTATAACGATATTTTGTTACTGTCACCAAGCATCTAGAACCATATTGAATGAAAGTGATTAGTGGGACTTGGAATACAGTAAGGTTTTTATGATGAAGCAAAACCTGAGGCATACCGTTGGTACTCAATAAAGGGCATTAATGTTACTAGGCACAAAAGCCGGCTCATTCTATAAGCCCCACGTGGGCACAAGGACTTTCAGAAGCACCCTCCCTGCCTGAGATGGTGCCCTCTCCTGGCCACTCCACTGACTTGCACGGCTGCAGACGTTTTCTCACGGTGATGAAAATTCCGCTACTGCGCAGGCGCACGCTCTCCCTCTAGGTCCCACAGCTTGCGCAGGCGCAGTCTTCCCAGATCCCGCTAGGGGGCGCTCCCACCTTTACAACTGGCCCAGACCCACCCTGCCGTCCGTTAGCGCGCTAACGGCAGAGAAGCAGCCACCGTCACCATGGCAACCAGTGACCTCTGCACCCCCCTTCCCCACCAGCATGCCCCGCGGGCAGCCCCTGAGGCAGCGTTTGGAGGGAGGATGAGAAAGGGGAGTTAGAGGGGAGAATCCAGGGCTCTAAGGGAACTGGAGTGAGTCAGAATTGTGTGGAGGTGTGGATGTCACTGCAGGGGAGTAAACACGGGCTGGGAAGAGTGATCTCGCTAGTAACAGGGCCCAGGGAGGCACACAAGCCATAAAAAGGCAAGGGGGCGATTGGGTCCATCGTCAGCTATGGCGCCGCCAGGTCAGGAAGGGTTCCTAAGATACTCACCAGGGTGGACCAGCCCAACACGCGATTCCGGGGGATCACTTTGATGGCCACCTGGAGAAGCGGGCTGGGGTTACGGGGTCGGAAGATGACCCCCAGAGCCCTCCCAGTCCTGAGCCTCATCCTAGTCTTTGTGGCCTCACCACACCACACCGCGACCCCCAAGGAGCCAGGGCTTCTTCCCGGCCCACAAGTCCCCAGGACCAAGTTCACCTCTCCCACCGCCCTCAGCCATGGGTTCTCCCTTCTTAAGCTCAGGACCTCGAACTCCAGGTTCTGAGTTCCGAATTTCTTCACACACCAAGTGCTCCACCTTCCAATCCGGCCCCAAGACTGTCCCGGTGTCCTGTTCCTCAAGACTCTATACTGGACACCTTGGCTCCAAAATCCCCCAAATCTCAGCTCTGGGTCCCCACCTTCGTACACATTTATACATCCCCTGGATCCCAAGGTCCAGATTCCTCAGGACCCCCCACTCCTTGGTCTCACTCCCTGACCCTCCCCCACACGCCCACCTGAGTCCACACACACACACACACACACAAACACACACACGAAGGCGCGCGCTCTTGAACGCCCCCAGCAAGCCAAGCCGGGTCCTGGTTCTCAGGACCTTACCACACACACATTGTGCGTTCATTCCCAGTCAATCAGCAGCCCAGCCTCGGGCCTCCCGCCTCCGCCACACGCACACCTAACCCTCCCCAGACCCTCGTGGCGGATACCTGAAGTCGGTCTGTGATGCGATGTCCTGCGAAGACTGTGCCAAAGCCCCCCTTACCCAGCAGGGGGCCAAGTCGGTACTCGGCCTCGAATGCTTCCCGATCCTTGCCTCCTACGCAGGCGAAGGCGAGGAAGTCAGGGTGGCCGCGTGCTGAGCCCCTCCACGACCCCTCCCCCCTTCCCCGCACCGCCCTCCACCGCTTCAGTCCGCCTGGCCTGGTAGCGGTAAAGAAGCCTCTCTCACCTGGCGGCGGTGTGGGGGTCACGGGGTCCACCGCGAGCCCCTGAAGAGGCTTGCTCAACATGGAGGAGGCGCTGCGCAGATTGAGCCCGGTAAGCCCGCAGGGCGTAGATGCCCGGGGCAGTGAGGATGGGGAGCCAGGACTTGGGGGCGCCAGGATGGAAGGCAGGGAAGCTGGTGGCCCAGAGGCGCCCACGACCGGCGCAAGGCTATGATTCGCAGCGCTCGCCAGCCCCAACGCTACTGAGCCGGGGCACGCGCCTCCCGAGAGAGTCGCTCAGGGCGACAGCCCCGCCCACTTGGCTTTGATCAATCCAGACGCGGCACCTGCTGTACCGCAGCCAATCGAAGGCATCCCTCATTTGCATACCACCCTCAAGGTTTCAAGTACCCCCTTATGCAAATATGCGCCCGGATCGTCCTGGGGGCGGGGCCTGCATGCAAATGAGGGGCGCGCGCGAAGAGGAAACTGGTTCTGGGAATCCCTTTGCAGCCACTGCATTTATTTTGGTTGTTGCGCGGGGTTGTTTTTATATATGTGCGTATGTGTATATATAGATATAAACTTAAAAAAAACGGCACACCCCTCCTTTGCTAGGAAGTTGGTTTGCTGCTGCCTTGAGATTAGCGCGGAGATAAGGCCAGGTCTGGCTTCTAAGAATCTGGGCATGTAGCTATCCAGGACCCTGTCTTTTAAGGGTGCTCCTCTGCAAGAAGGGCCCTTTAGGCAACCAATGGCCTCTGCCCTGAAATTGAAGCCTGGGATCCTGGAAGATCCTGTTCAGATGCCAGGGAGGGGTAACCCCCTGACTGCCACCATGGGGGAATGCTGCTCAACGGCTGCATGACAGAGACTGTGGCCTGTGGGGGGGGGGTGGAGCCTTTTACCTACATAGACCTGGCTAGACCTGGCCCTGAGTCGTCAGCAGGTCTAGAATCTGGAAGGGCTGGGTAGGGGGGGTGTCTTGAGGAGTGGGAGCAAGCCAGAGTGGTGGTGGATTGGTGGTATGCTTCCAGATGAGAGACGGGGGCTCAAAGAGGTGGTAAAATACCCTTACTCACAAATTTGAGAAAAAGAGATGGGCCTCATGCCATAGGAAGACAGACATGCACTCCAAAGAGAGACACAGAGAAATACCACGTGAGATACATAGAAATATGTATCATCATATTCATGTAAACGTCTTAGACACACATGCAGACATTCACTGTCATAAAGAGAGTGATATCCACTGTCAGGCAGGCATGCTGCCAGAGTCATGTCCCGGAATGACACAGAGATACAGTCACAGAAAGAGAGGCACTCCAGAGAGATTCACGTAGATCTACATTACCACATACAGTGACACAGAAATGTCCATCAGACACACGTTCAGAACTTGTCACAAAGACAGATGTGCACTGTCACATAAAAACTTGTACTGTCCCAGAAATGAGTCCCAGAATCTGTCACAGGAAGCCATAGAGATGCTCGAGAGACACACATGCTGCAAAGGCAGACATATATGATAGAGCCACATATTGGCAGTGTCACAAAAACAGATATGGACCCAGTCATAGACACACATATACCCACAGGCATGCAACACTGTCAACTGACACTGTGCAGAAATAGCTACCCAGAATTCATCAAAAGAACACAAACGGACATCCACCCCATCAGAAAGGAACCACAGAGGTGTTATCACAGACAGACCCACACAAACACGCATTCATTTCAGAAACAGACACAAACTGTCACCATCTGACACACCTGGTCACAAGCCCTCGTCACATACATAACTAGAAACACCCTGTGAGATGCGCATAAAGACTTGGACTCTCTACAGTAACACACACACACACACACACACACACACACACACAGACAACACCCAAAAGGAAAATACACACATGTATCCTCCCTTATTCACCCAGCATTTATTAGGGGTCAACTGTAAGCCTACCAGGCCCTGGTGGGAGTGCAGATTTGAGAGATAGCTAAGTCAGCATCATAGCCCTTGCCTAGGAAGTTCATAGTACAGTTATTGGGGAAGGAGTAAAGGCATATTTGTAGATAGATGGGAGAATGTGGATGGGGTCACACAGGGCTTCTTTCTCAGAAGGTGACCCTCTACACATCCTGAAAGATAAGGCTGGGGGCTCTGGACAGGGAAAGGGTAAATTCTAGGCAGAGAGCAAGGTAATTAATTGGAGGCAATAAGAAGTAGGCAGGGGCAAATAGTGCATAAATTTCAACAGAATAAATATCTACTAACATTTGAACTTTCAGAATGTGCTAGGCACTGTGCCATCATGCATTATGTTGACCATATGCATTCTCTCTCAATGCTCACAACCATAAAGAGGGTGAGGTAGTAGATGTTAATCACCCTCGTCATATATATGGGCCACTTGAAATTCAAAGAGCCTGTGATTTGACCAAGGCCACATGACAAGAAAAAGCCAAGGAAGGTTTCAAACTAACTTTCTTGACCAGTGGATTCCAGACATCCCTCGGACAACCACTCAGCCAGCCATGCCCTCACCTGTAGAGCTGGACACGCATCCTTCCACAGGGACCCCATTATTGAGGCACAGCAAAAAAGACACTTGACAAAACCCGGGGCCAGCCATCCTTCTTTGCCTTGGCTTTACCCCTAGGAAGGTCGGGACACAGAAGTGTCAGAGAAGTGGGGGACGTGAAAAACAAAAAAGGGTTTAGCCATTCCTCAGCTTCTAAAACCCAGTGGGAGAGGCCCATTTGATCACTTCCACTGAACTCATGTTATTATTAAGCATCTGCTGTACCTTTCCAAAGCATTTTCTCATCAAACGATCAAAAGAGCAAACATTTATGGCAAAATAGGAAGGCAGAGAAGTTGGAAGTTCAGTCCCTGCCCTCAAGCTCAGTCCTCTGCTCCCATCGCACCCCAAGAAATAAGGTGGGCAGGCTACACACTGTGCCAGTACTGAGGCAGGGGCAGCAGGCAAAGATGGAACTTTCTTGGTGGTAACAGGTCCAGAAGGTGGTTTAGTAAGCAGTGAATCAAATATGAACAAACTCGGTCTCAGAGAGACCCTACTGGAGAGCATGCAGCCCTCAGAGGCCAAGCCAAAGCCTGTACCCTTGCTGCCTCTGCCCAGAGACCCCCCCCCACACACACACACACTCTGCCCCACACAGAACAGAGGCGCTCCGGGGAAACGGACATTTGGTTTTATTGTGCCAAGGACATTACAGATGGTGGATCTTGTCAACACCTGCAGGGCACAAGTGCCCCATCTGCCAAGGCTGCTCCCATTCCCCACACTCAAATCCTGGGCGGCGGCCATAATCCTCAAAGTTGCCCCCACTCCAAGATTCCAAAGAGACTGGTGGTGGTATGGAAGCAATAGGAATGCAGTGAGGTCAGAGTCTCCTTGTCCAAAGCCCACATGATACCTGCCACCCATGCCCCTCTACTCCACCCTGACTCATACTCTAGACCCTGCCCATCTCCAAAGAGCTGGAGGCCACAGACAGTAACCACATCTTTGTGCCCACTGTGTCCCACAACCTGCCTGCCCCCAACCACAGAGATGCCACCTTCAGAGAGTCAATGCTATTGTCTACATTGTTTTCGATAGGTTAATTTTATAAGATAAAAGTACATTTTAATAAAGAAAAAATTCAACATTGAAGGCTCAGACATTCTTAGGGTACTGGGAAGGGGAATTCCCCACTTCTTCCTCCCACTTCCCTGGCATAGTTGTGGAGGTGGGTTGACAAAGTTTTTTGAGCTTGGAAGAATGGGAGTCAGGGAGGCTTTCCTCTGTCTGAATGTCTCTCCTCGGGGGCTGCCTGGCTGCCAGTTGGGTTGTCTCTGTGTGCCTCTCGCCTACCTTCGGCACCCTTGCCCGAGTCCCCTGTGGAATGCAGGGATGGTGCTGTGCGGGGGGCAACAGGGCACGTCAGCTGGCGAAGAGACAGGTGATGGTGGTGGTGGCAGCGATGAGAGGGGGTGCAAGGGTGGGCCAGCAAGAGGGAAGTGGGGAGGAGGAAAAGGAGGGGAGAAAGGGAAGGAGGAAGACAGCAAGAGGGAAGAAAGCCAAAGGTGAGGTGGCACCGGAGGGCAGGAGTGGTGGGGGTTGGGAGATAGTCTCCAGTCTCTGGGTCTCCATCAACTCTTGTCTGGGGGTGGATCTCTGTGCACTTTGTTTTTCTTCATACTGTCTAGGTATTCTTGTTGGGACACTGCCAGCACCGATGCTAGGATCTCATCGTCGTCCCAGTCGTTCAGACCTGCTGGGCAAGAAGAGAAAAAGAATGGAGGAGACAGCCTTTTCTTCACCCTTCGCTGATCCCTGGCTCTGGAAAAGATCCCATTCAGGCCCCTCTAACTCTTTATCTCTAAGACAGCTCCTCTGAGCTTATGAAACCCCACTCAGAACCCCTCTGGGACATATCCCTTGAAGCTAAAAGATTCCCTTTTCTTGGGGAGATGGCCAGAGGCTCAAGGGACTCCCCCTCAGGACTTACTGCTTTTTTCATCTCTCCCCAGCTCCCGGCTGGCACCTGGCTCCTAGAAAGAGGAGGCTTACCAAAGGCGGAGGGGGACATCTGCTGAATGAGGGCCCGGCACTCCAGAGCAGGGTAGAGGGACACGAGGGGGGAAGTCGCTGGGTCGGCCCCTGCTGAGAACTGGCTGCTTGTACCTGGGGCAGATGGACAGTCAGAAGCAGGGCCCAGGACCTAGGCAGCACCTCCTAAGCCCTGCATGCTCCCTGTCAGCAAGTCACTGACCTGGTGCACAGGGCGAAGGAGGTTTGGCAAGAGCTAAGACAGTGCCTGGGGAGGGGGGCTTGATGCCCAGCTCGGCATGCAGCTCAGGGTGCTCAGGTGACCGCTGCCGCGGGGACCGGCTAGTCCACTCCTCCAGGCCACTGGAGGCGGCTGCTGTGGCGGAAGTGCATGTGGCGCTGGCTTTCCGGGGCTGTGGTGTGGAAGAAACAAGAGGTAAAAACCTACAATAGTCTCAATCCTCTTCTGCCCCATCCCCAAGGGCTCGCTCCCTCCTGGAATCCTGACTGTGACACAGCTTAACCCTCCTCACACCCTCACAGCCAATCTGACAAGAAACCTATCACCTCCACCTTCAAAATATATCCAGAGTGCGCCACCCCCCCCCCCGTCTGTACCATCAGCAACTACCTGAACTACTGTAGCAGCCTCCTTCTTGCTGGTCTCCCGTTCTACACTTGCCACCCAGACTCCATTCTATACCCAGTAGTCAGGGGATCCTGTTAAATCCTAAGTCAGATCCTGTCCCTCCTCTGCTCACAACCCTCCAGAGTCTGCTTCATTCAGAATAAAAGCCAAAGTCTTCACTATGGCCTACAGGTACCTTCCCAATCTGGCCCCACTGCCTCTCTGACTGACTTCTGTCCAGCCACACTGATCTCTAGCTGCCCCTGAATTCCAGCAGGGGTGTACTACCTCAGGGCCTTTGCTCTAGCTAGTCTTCTGTCTGCCCTGGCACATGCACTTAACTAATTCCTTTACCTACGGCAAGTTTTTGCTCAAATTTGTGAGGCCTACCCTGTCCACACTATTTAATACTATGAACTCCCAGTCCCACTCAGCCCTATTTATTCCCTTTACCTTGCTCCATATATTTTTTCATCCATACCACATCAACTAATTTATTCATTATGTTTACTATTTATTTTGTTCCATTCTGCAAAAATGTAAGCATCACAAAGACAGGGGTCTGGGCCTGCCTAGCTCACCAATATAACTCTACACCTAGAACAGTGTGGGGCAACGATTTACTCAGCTCTTGCCAACATCTACAATCACTCTAAACTCCTTGTGATTCCTCAAATGTCTATATATCCTGCCCCCTCCCTACCCTAAAATTTTCAACCTTCCTGTATAAAGACTAACTAGAGCCCCTATCTCCACTGGTCTCCCAGTCAGGGTCAAGGGCCCCACTGATGCATCGACTGATAGACAGGGGACCACTGAGAGTGGGGCAAGCTAGACCTGACTTTACATTCTCAGCACAGAGCCTGGCACACAAGGACATTCAACAAAAGCTTGTCCCTCTGAAACTATCCACCAGTCCTGCATGTCACCACCAGTGACTGCTCTCCCCTTCTTACTCCTTAAGAGTTTGTTCTGCACAGGTGTTGAGAGTTCTCAGGCACAATGCCAAAAGTAAGGCCAAGATGAAGTACAGGCAGGGTTGGGAGCTTTCTTCTCTCCCAGATGTCAAAACTGCTTAATTTTTTTTTCTGCCTGTTTAGGGCAGAGTTGGGAAAATAATGGGTTCTTAGCCAGAGTGATAGAGTCCAGGACCCACCTGGCTGGGGCCTCGAACCTGGCGGGCCTGCTTTTCCTGATCCCGAAGCCATTGCAGGTAGGATTCTCGAGCCACCTGCTCTTCAATAGCCTCATTTGTGGCCTCCCAGTCTGTGGCCCGCTTCTTGTCTTCCAGCATCTGCTGTTCGATCCATGACTCCTCTGATGTTTTTATGGCACTCTTCATCAGGGACTGCTCTGCAAACTGCAAAGGTGGAAGGAACAGGGATATGGGGTGACACTCTGAACTCTGGTCAAGAGCCAGAACTGGCTCAGGGAGGTGGGCCCACAAGCCCAGAAGAGAGGAGACAGGAAGGTAGGTACTCTTACTAAGCACCCCCCTGGCAAGCTGCCTATTCATCAGGGACTGGGGAAAAGCAGGCTTGGGTGGTGGGACCAGGAGTTCCAAACTCCTACACTCAAAAGCCCTGCTCCCAACCCCAAGACAACTCAACTGAAGTACTAAGTCTGGGGCAGCCAGGTGCCCTCCAGCCTAGGCCAGAATTTAAAAAAGCCTTACCCAGTGATGACTCAGTTTCACAATGCTGAGGCCTTCCTCATCTATGCTCAGATGAGACAAGGAGAAAAGATCACCTGAGAAGTTAGCTGTATGTGCACAGGATGGAGGGAGTAGTCAGGTATTTAAGGGGATGAGGGAGTAGCATCAGCATGATGTGAGATGCTATGAGTTGTGGAACACTGTATGAGAGTGCTCTTTGTTAGACCATAAGATACAACTACATTTTAAGAAACAAAATTATATAAAATATCAGAGCATATCCCAGGGAGTAAATGTGAGTATTGTTCAGCAAAATTCTAACATTGTTTTAATGCACAGATACACACTGCACACCAGTGTGTGTATGCATGAACTGATATAAAATATAATTTTTTGCCTATGGATAATAGTCCAAAAAGTACATAAACTCTACATTAGAACAAGATAATTAAAAAATGGGCAAAAAATCTAAACACACAATTTCATATGCACATGCAAAGATGCTCAATACCATTTGTCATTAGAAAATTGAACATTAAAACAAAACAGTACTGCCCTGACTGGTTTTGCTCAGTGGTTAGAGCGTGGGCCCTCAGACCAAAGGGTCAAGGGTTCAATTCTCAGTCAAGGGCACGTACCTGGGTTGCAGGCTTGATCCCTGGTCCTGGCTGGGGTCATGCAGGAGGCAACCAATCAATGTGTCTCTCTCACATCGATGTTTCTTTCTCTCTATCTTTCTCTTTCTCTCTCCCCCTCCCTCCCTTCCACTCTATCTAAAAAAAAAAAAAAAAAAAAAAAAATCAATGAAAAACCTCTGGTGAGCATTAAAAACAAAAACAAAGCAGTACCGCCTTGGCTGGGTTTCTCAATGGTTAGAGCGTTGGCCTGAGATCAAAGGGTCTCAGGTTCGGTTCCCAGTCAAGGGCAGGTACCTGGGTTGCAGGTTCGATCCTCAGCCCTGGTTGGGGTCATGCGGGAGGCAACTAATCGATGTGTCTCTCTCACATCAATGTCTCTCTCTCTCCCCCGCCCCAATCCCACTCTACCAAACATCAGTATGAGGATTAACAACAACAAAAAACAAAGTAGTACCTATCAGCTGGTAGCTTCATATAGATACAGTTATGTATAGAAATATTTCTGGATATGTGTATACACACAGGTTAGTATACACACATATATCTTCTTACTCTGTCAGCTGAAAGGACCTAGAAGGAAGGACACCCCAGTACCAAAGAGCACACTCAGCACCCAGATCATGGTTTCTAATAACATTCCAATAAATGGAACGAGGGCCTCTAGAAGAAATGGCTGGTTCTAAGACCAGGGAAGAATATATACAAGCTGGGCCTGGAACACCTTTAGTGCCAGAAAGTAAGGAAATACTCAAAAAAATAAAAACAAAACAATAACAAAAATCCAAAAATAAACAAAACCACCACCAAAATGATGGGGGTATATCAAAGAGACACAGGAACTAAGAAAGAGAGCTTCCAATAGCCAACATTGAAACAATTTGAGCATCAAAATAAAAACAGCATTGAATTAAGTATAAAATAAATATAAGTCCATATTGATATAAACAACCGAATAAATGGGGACAAGAGACAAATCTCTCTTGTAAGAAGAATTCCAAATAATGTATGTAGATATGCTGCCTTCAAGGAGATAAAACATAATACCCACTTTGTTATTTTTTTTTTTTTTTGGTTAATCCTCACCCAAGAATATTTTTCCACTGATCTTGAGAGAGTGGAAGGGAGAGAAAGAAAGAGAGAAACATCAATGTGAGAGAGACACATGGACTGGTTGCCTCCCGCACAAGCCCTCCTCCTACTAGGGCCGGGGATCAAACATGCAACCCAGGTACATGCCCTTGACCAGAATCGAACCCACAGCCCTTAGGTCCAAGGGCCAATGATCTCACTACTGAGCCAAACCATCCACAGGATAACACCCACTTCCTATGTATGGGCTGCATAAAATGACTTCCTTCCAAAGAGTACAGTGTGGAAAAGGGAGTGGGGGTAAAAGAGTGATTTTACAGTGGAGAAAACTTAACAAACATTACTTCTGCCAGGTGATCAAAGTCAACAGCAACAGTCACAAATCATGTTCATAGTATATACTATTGACAGAAAATTGTACTTTACCATTGTGATCTTCCTCCCTACAATCCATAACCACAGTCTAATCATGAGAAAAACAGATACTCCAAAAGAGAAACATCTGCTCTGGCCAGTTTGGCTCAGCGGTTAGAACTTCAGCCTGTGGACCAGAGTCTCAGGTTCAAACCCTGGCTCTGATCAGGATCATGTGGGAGGCAACCAATCGATGTATCTCTCTCCCATTAATGTTCTTCTCTCTCTCTCTCTCTCTCTCTCTCTCTCTCTCTCTCTCTCTCTCTCTCCAGCCCCCTCCCTCTCTCTCACTCTATCTAAAAAAAGAAAAACAATGGAAAAATATCCTTAGGTAAGGATTAAAAAAAGAAGAGAGAGAGAAAGAAATATCCTAAAGTATACCTGACCAGTACTTCTAGAAAGTGTGAGAAACCATTACAGACATGGAAGCCTAAAGAGACATGGTGACTTCAGTTAATAATGTATCAATATTGGTTTATATATTGTTAACAAATGAATCACAGTCATCTGATGTGTTAGTAATGAAACTGTGTGTGGGATGCATGGGAATTCCGTACTATCTTCTTAGTTTTTCTGTAAACTTAAGGCATTCATATTTTTTTAAAAAGGAAAAAGAAAAGAAGCAATCAAATAAAAAAATCTTTAAACATTTTTTTTTTTCTTTTTACTGATTTGAGAGAGAGAGAAAGGGAGAGGGAGAGAGAGATAGAAACATCGATGAGAGAGAATATCGACTGGCTGCCTCCTGCATACCCCACACTGGGGATTTGGCCCACAACCTGGGCATAAGCCCTGACCGGGAATCAAACCAGTGACCTCTCGGTGCATGGGTCGACACTCAACTCCTGAGCCACACCAGCCAGGACAAATAAAAAAAATCTTAAAAGTATAGTGTTATGTGAAAGAAGATACTCTGAAAAAACAATATACTATATGATTCCAATTATATGACATTCTAGAAAAGGCAAAACAATTGTCTGTAAACAGATCAAAAACAAGGAAATTCAGAGAAACTATCACAGCCAAGAGCAGCCAAAGGAGACATGATAACAACTAAATGTAATATGGTCCTGGATGGGATCCTGGAACAGATAAGATCATTAGGGAAAAACTGAGGTAATTTGAATCAACTATGGTCTTTAATTAATATATCAAATATTCGCTCATTGTGACACATGTACTATGTTAATAAGATGTTAATCACAGTGGGGTATATGGGAATTCTCTAACCGTAATAATTTTTAAAAATCTAAACTGTTCCAACATTAAAAGTTTATTTAAAAAATAAAACAAAAAAACCCCAATGTTGGAGGGTGTGTTGCTGTTAGGGTGTGTTTCCTAAAATGAGGTAGGAGCACTTTCTGTTTGTAGGAAGTGAAACCTGAATAGAAGATATTAAAACCCCCAGCAGACAACTGTTTATGAAAGAGAATGAGATCTGCCTATGTGTGCTGGGAAAATGTACTACCACCATCTGAGCACCTACTAGGCATTTGGCCCAGTGCTAGGCACTACCTGTTATCAGCCAAGCTGCTAGCCCAGGTCCCATAATCAGTAAGTATTGAAGCCACGCCTGAACTCCAAGTCTCTGTGACCCCAGATGTCTGTAACTGCTGAGTTTCAGAGGAGAATCCATGTGGGTGCCAAGACACCCAGACCGAGCCCTGGCTCATGGTTCCCAAATGTGACTCCATATCCCAAAATGCCACCCCTCCATAGGTACAAAAGATGGATGAGCAAACTCAGACAAACTGAGACCACAGAATGAGCCCTGAGAGATCACCTTGGGTGACTCCCTGATTTCACAGAGGTGAGACCTCAGGGGCAACTCAGAGAGGGGACAGGATATTTTTGTGGGCTCAGCGTAAAACTGAGACCCAAACAAAGGTTTCTAGCCTTAAATCCAACAGCCATCTTGGACATGGTAACAGGCTTACCCCTGGTTTGAATGATGGCAGGCCCAGCCCCACACCAATGGTGGCCTTATTGGGATTCACTACTGAATTGTAGTGGATATTCCGATGGTAGCTGACACGGATGGGTTCATCTTCATTTTGATGGATCCCATGGAATGTGTTGATGGGTTCTGCATAAAAGAGAAGAAGCATCCACAGTGGGCCGGGTAGGGCAGGCTCAGAGCAGGAGCTATCAGTTGCTCACCTACCCACCACAAAAGTACCTGTGCTGTACTGGTACACTTCCACAGGCCGGTTGTACATCTCTGCCATGGCCTGCATCTCAATGTGGTTGCCATGGCAGTTGTTTTTCCGTTTCCGGTTGATGTAGGTGGTGAAGTCCTCTGTGACATAGTTGGAGAAGTAGTCAGCATTCTTCATCTGCAGAACAGGTCAGAGGGTCATGGTCTGTGTGAGGAGGAGATCCTCCCACTCTGCCCCTACCCCAAGGTCTCTGCAAAGTCTCACCAGATAGTCCATGCAGTGCTTTCGTACAACCTCATGCATGTCCTGGTCTCCATACACCTGGTCAGCTGTGGAGGCAGAAGAAAGGAAAGTCTGGGATCAGAACTGCTACCAGAAAAGAGTTCCAAGTCACGGAACATCCTTGGAATGAAGGGCTGGGGGCCAGGGAAACTTTCTTTCCTACCCCAGGGCCTGAAGAGTTCTTGGCCTTGTGGGCTGGAATGGAGTCATGGAAAAAGAGGCAGGCAGAGATAGTCTTTAACAAGAATGCAGGTGAGAGGGACACAACCACAGGCCTCTCATGCAGATGACTTTGTCTAGGGCTTGCCTGACCACTCAGACATGTCAATAAACGTTTTAAGTCCCTCCCATAAGTGGCCTGAAGCACTATCAATTCCATACCCCCACCCTTACTCTTCACATGAGGAAACTGAGAGAGAGTTTGTGGCTTGACCAAGTTCACACAGAAAGTCAGTCTGTGACAAATTCAACTCTAGAATTCAGTTTGCCTGACTTCCCGGAGTTAGTATGGCCTTTGTAGGTTGGAAAAAAAAAGAAAAAGGAAAACAGCTGGGCTCTAAGCCCAGTTCTGCCAGGTACTAGACTGAGCTAAATGACCAGAGGTAAGTGACCCAAGTGTTCTGAGCCTCACCTGCCTCACGTGTGAAACAGGAACAAGCTGGGTTAACTCCCTGGCAGGCCTTCTTGTGAGATTAATGAGATAAAGGGTGTAATATGACCAGCATGGGCTTGAGACAGAGCAATCACTCAGTAAATCAGAGTCCCCTTGCCCGTAGTGCAGTGGTTCTCAACCTGTGGGTTGCGACCCCTTTAGGGGTCAAACGACCCTTCACAGGGGTCGCATAAGACCATCGGAAAACACATATTTCCAATGGTGATTCATAACAGTAGCAAAATTACAGTTATGAAGTAGCAATGAAAATAATTTTATGGTTGAGGGTCACCACAACATGAGGAACTATATTAAAGGGTCATGGCATTAGGAAGGTTGAGAACCACTGCTGTAGTGGGACCTAAATGTGGGGTACTGTGAAGGTGACAGAGCTGAGTAAAATCCTGCCCCTGCCTGCAAGAAGCACACAGTCTAGTAAGAGAGATAAGATACATATGCACCTAACTAAGCTTAATTCAGGAAGGGCAGCCCAGTTGATTCAAGCATCACAGGGTTTTGGTCAAATTAAGACCCAGGCTCCCTCTGCCTCGCTTGAGGATCTTCACACATGCCTTCCCTCATTTCAGGATGTTTTTTTCATCCTGCTTGACTGCCTACTTGTCAAACACCAATGTGTTCTTTAATAGTTCCCCACCCTCCCAGACACCTCTATCACCAGATTTATCAAAAGTGTGTACAGACTTCATCTGCCTGATCACACTGGGCTCCTATTCGAGAGCCAGAGGGTAGTTCACATCCAAGTCTCCCCCCAGCTCTGGGTCCAATACAGTGCAGGAAATTGGAAAGTTTGCTGAGTGGATGGACAAGTAGGGGGAGCCAGGGAGTTTTCTCTATGGGAAATTAAGGTGGGCTTGAAGATGAGGTATGCATCATACCCACTGGCTAAGATGAAAAGGGAATTTCCCTGACTCCCCAGAAGATAGGTGCTCTGGTGGGATCTCCCTGGGCCACTGGGGCAGGGGCAGGTCCTGCAGGGAACACCGCAGCATTCTTCCATGACAGCCAGTCTACCTCTGAATGCCAGAATGCCTTCGCTGCCCTCCTGTTCCCTCCCTAGAGAATTCTGTGAGATAAGAAGAGAAAGGCTGCTGAGAAAAATGAGGCCCATGCTGTTCTCAAGTCCTCTTGGAGGTGTGCAGGGACCTGAGGGTGAGGTGGAGTACTGGCTGGCTGTGAAGGCGGGAAGGGGTAGCCCCATCACTGATGTAAACAAGGATGTGGGTTCTGCGGCTATACTCTCCCCCGCCCCCCAGCGGCACTTCCAGCAAGTCACATGCCCTGTGCACAGGCTGGGGGCCCCCTGCTGCTGCCTTTCTTAGAAACCAGTACCACAGAGCCCACTGCTGCTGCCTGCCTGCCTGCCAGAGCTGCTTGACAAGCTATTTCTGTAGAATGGGCTTGGGCGCTGAGGAGGCAGTGCTGTGGGCAGCTGCAGTAAACAGGAACTGAGATGTGAGCAAAGAGGTTAAATAGCAACTGGCCTGCCAGGCTCAGGGAGATGGTTGAGATGTTCCTAGGAAAGGGTCAACCAGCATTTTCAGGCCTAAGAGATACATCTATCTACCTGAGCTAGATGCTGGATACAAAACAGGAACGTGAGAGACTGGGACAGAGAAAACAGTTGGGGGAGAACTCCATGAGCGTCTCCACATTTCCCTGCCACTGAACCCTTTGCCTGGTAGAAAGGCTCTGCTGCCTCCTAGCCATGCAGCACTGGACAAGGTCCTTAAACTCTCTGGGCTGAAATGTCCTCATCCATAAAGTGGAGAGAGTAACTCCTCTTCCTTTCATAGGGTGCTGTGAAGACTACAGGGGATGGTTTGCCAAACATCTGAGGCATACTAGATGTTCAAGAAACAAGGCTCCATTTGTCATGAGGAAGATGATGACTCCTTCAGGTAGGCAGCTACCCACAAGTCAGCTAGAATGTCACCGGAACCACTTATTAAGCCCTTCCTTATTTCTGTTGTACTTCCTCAACCAGAGGAAAGCCCCAAACCTCGAGTCTAGGCCGTCCCTTGTGTACGTAGGACCAGTACTCTACCTTTACTGACGACAAAGGGCTACAGACTCACTTTCTGTAATTGTACTGCAAACCATTAATAACCAAATTAATGTCAAATCAGTAATACAGGTTTCACACAACAGGGTCCTTAAGTATGACTGTCTCTACTTATCAATAAAATGTAAAATATAACTTCTCCTCAATTCTAACATGTACCGATAGGTGGTATGATACATGTATTTAACAACAGCTGCAGAGGGGAGATGACCAACCTCACTGATTATAAGATTATACCCTAGTTTAGAAAATAGGTTCCCCAGAACCAAGGACACAGAGCAATAGTACCTCCCCAAAAAGGGAGAGTAGAAGGATCTTTTCAAGGATATAAGGTGGGAAAAATACCCAGTGCGAGCTAAGAACACAGGAAGTCTTCATTGAGGAGGCTCTTGCTTGACTTTGCTAGTCTCACCTCTGTCCTCCTGAAAGCCCTCTTCCTCCCAGAATATTAGCACAGGGGCTAGGGACTGGGCTAGGCTTCCCTGTGGGGGCCAAGGTGGGAGAAAGGGCCCAATAGACTTGCAGAGGTAGGGGAATTCAGAGAACTTGTTTTGATAGAAACCGAAACTCCTCCTCTTGCTGACGCTGCATTTGTGGGCAATCCGCACCTGCTCTCCCCTCCCAGAGTCCAGCTGGAAGAGGGTCCCCCACTATCTCATCTCTGTCCCCAAGCCAAATAGGGCTCAGAAATTCTCAGTACAATACTGTGATTGGTTCCCCCAAGGCCTTTTTACACTCCAACTCATTCTATCCTCACGCTCAAAAACCTGACTTTACACAGGAGATATACTGAGGTACAGAAATGTGGTACAGATAGCCCAAGGTCACACATTTGGGAGGATGAAGGGGAGGCCAGGCTCTCAAGGACTGATTTGAAGCACTAATGCTCAAGATGACATTACCACCACTCCAATCCAGCTATTACCTTAACCACCTGACTCTCTGGGGCCAGGCCTGATCTTGTCTACATCAGTTTCCCCACTAGCACAAGCAGGAATCCGCTGGAAAGGGCTGGGGGTGGGCAGAGATTACAAATATCAGGGGCTGTACCCCTCACTAGTGCCACAGAGGTCAGCATAAACCTTACCTCCTCAGATCCCACTTCTATCCCCTCTCTGAGCATACAGCGACACCAGCATAGAAGTGCACACACGCACAGCTAGCAGATCCTGCCTAAGATGTTCCCTGAAGCTAAATTCCTACACGACAACCCTCACAACTACAGACAACTATCATATTCAACAAGTAGATGATGCCCTTGCCACCAACTAGGAAAGACTGAAGGCTGGACAAGATGTGAGGTTGTGCCCTGGCCGGTCTGGCTCAGCGGTTACAGCGTTGGCCTATGGTCCTCAGAGACCTGGGTTTGGTTCCCGCTAAGGGCATGTACCTTGGTTGCAGTTTGTCCCTGGCTCTGGTTGGGTCGTGCGGGTGGCAGCTACTCGATGTGTCCCTTTCATGTCAATGTTTCTCTCTCTCTCTCTCTCCCACTCTATCTGAACAAAAAATGGAAAATGTCCTCGGGTGAGAATTAAAAAAAAAAAAAGGATGTGAGGCTGTGCAAACTGAGGGCCCTAGCCCCTCCTTCCTAGCCTTTTCCAGGGGTTGGTGGGAGGGGGGAAGAGCCAATAGCACTGACAGACTTGCCTCAACCTCCCTCCACTGCTGCCCAGCAGGTCTCTAAACCTCCTCAGGTTCCCTAAAATATAGTCACTATTTGCCCATGAGTTATATGGAAAAGACAGGAGAGCCTGGACTGTCTAAAGGAGTTTAAATACAGGGCCCTACCATTCATTTTAGAAGCACCTGAGAATCTGCCTCTCTGCCAGGTTCCTGCCTGCCTGCCTGTCTGCTAAAAGAGCCACGGCAAATTCTGCTGAGGACAGAAAAGGAAGTTTGGTGTCTACAGGAAATCTAAAAACAAACCACACAAATATGTACACACAGCAGCACGGGGAGACAGGGACCCAGTTTGTTCCTACTTCCCTCCTGGCCCAGTGGGAACCCTGGCCCCACTGAGCAGATGAGCCAGGGAAAAGCCTCACCGGCCTGTTAAGCAGCTGTGGTGTATATCTGAACAATGGCCCCAACTAACCCAAATGTCACAGACTCAGTGAGGAGACAGCAGAACTCAGTTTTGTTTTGTTTTTTTTATTTTACAGAACTCAGTCCTCTTAATAGCCTGATCTCTGAGATGCCTGCTCCTCTACTCAAGGACTCCTATGGCAAAGATGGGAAGACTGATGGAGGCAGGGCAAAGGCAAACGCAAACTGGTATATATGGTGGCCCATGGGATCTTCTCCTTATGGCCTGGTTCAACCTGAAACACTGGTGTTCTGACACAGGTCTGTGTGACATAGGTAATAGGGTCCTTGTTTTTCCTTGAGGTCCCAGTTTCCCCATTATAAAACAGTCAAAATTGATCTAATCCATCCCTCCAATACTGATGGTCCATGTTCCAAGATGAAAAGGCCCAGGAGCCCTGGCCAGTTTGGCTCAGCGGTTGGAGCGTCGGCCTGCGGACCAGAGAGTCCCGCGTTCAGGTTTCCGCTAGGGGCACGTACCAAGAAAAAAAAAGAAAAGGCCCAGGAGTGGGCCTAGCTAATGTTTCTGGGCCTCATTGCTGTAATATACACACCCTCAGCTGCTTCTCATGGCCCATGCAGATACACATACACATGTGGCCTCTACTTTGCCTACAGAGACCAGGGCCAGAGGTTTTGCTGAGTCAAAGCACATAGGGAGAGGGAAGGACGAGAGATGCAGACTCACATTTCCAGGATGAGGTTATCTGAGCACAGCAGGGGCAGAGTGGACCACAGGATACCTCTGGGACTCAGGATCCCACTTCTATTCTACTCAAGCCTTCGCTGATGCTCACGAGTTCTCAGTAGGGGGTAGTGGGAAAGAATTGAGCACAAGCAGTGGATAGTGGTTCACACTGGGGACACCTAGACCTCAGAGGGAAAACAGAGGGTAGAAAGCCACCAGCTTCAGGATTTCCAATAGTAGAGGCCCACATGCTCCTAGTTGGAGTAAGGAAGTAGGCCCAGAGAGGACAAGGAATACAGCCAAGGTCACCTAGCCAGTTGAAAGCTAAACTAAAAAGCTAGGGCTTTCCTAGGGCCATGGAAAGAATGTGTTCTTTGGCACCTCTGGGTTCCCATGCCAGCTCTGCCACTAATAACCTGAACATGTCATTTCCCTTTCTTGAGCCTCAATCTTCTCAACTGTCTCATGGGATAAAAATCCCAATTTTGCAGGTGAACCTGAAACATCCAGTTTAATGCCTAGCAAAGAGTCAGGGTCAAGGAACAACAGAGTGTCCCCTGTGTCTATAATCTCCCCTCCAACTCCCACCCTCAGTTATGTGCTCCTTCCACTGTTCAATGTGTGACAGGAAGTTAGAACCTACAGCCTTCTCACTAGAGCCTAGGGCAACTACCACCTGTCCCTATCCAAGCTAGGCTGGAAGCAGAGAGGCAGCAGAAAGCATGAGGACAAGGTCCCCTTCCCACCCACAGGTCCTATGCACTCTGCCCCAGGGAAAATTCCATATGAGGCACAGAGACCCAGGGGCTATGTACTTCAGGGGAGAGACCCTGGGATTTCTAAGGTTTTATGGAGAAAAGCCAAGGGCATCTCAGTCAGGGGAAATGTATAGCCATAGCACTGAAAAGGAAAGGCCTTCAACCTGCCATGGTCACCTCTTCCTGTAATCTCAGGTCTCTTACTGGAAGGCCCCAACAGGAGGGGGGGGGGGTCACAGGATGTTTGGGGGAAACAGCTAAATGAACACATGCGCAAATATTGCGCGTTTTTTTTCTTTATTGATTGATTTTAGAGAGAGGGGATGGGAGAGGGAGAGGGAGATAGAAACATTGATGAGAAAGATCATCGATTGGCCACCTCCTGCATGTCCCCCCACTGGGGATTTGGCCCACAACCTGGGCATGTGCCTTGACCAGGAATCGAACCGGTGACCTCTTGGTGCATGGGTCAATGCTCAACCACTGAGCCACACTGGCTGGGCCAAATATTGCTCTTGATATGGGTTACTGCACAAGCCAAAGTCATTACTGGCCCCAAGGACTGCCCCAAAGACTGTTCAAGATCCAGATGCCCAGCTGCATTCTCCAACCCTTACTCCACCAGAAACCCTGCTTACCCCACAACCAGCCTGAGGTCTCAGCACAAGACCTAGCACCAAACAGGTCTCCACCTATTCTTTCTTTGCTTTTCTTTGGTCCACGACGGTTCCAAACCTAAACTCTTTCTCTAGGAACCATCCCAGGGAGAACACAGACTTAAACCACAGGGGTGGGAGGTTGGGATTTTCCAGCCCAAAAGAGTCCAATGCCCAAACCTCCTCTGTTTAGTAGAAAGGGTGAGGCAACCACTCACTCCATCTAACATTCTTTCACCAGTCAACAAACATTTGTGACTCCGAGGCACCACTAAGAATAGCATTCAGGCTTTACCAATGCTATTGTTCCACGAGGGGCTACTAGGTTGTAACAGGCTCAGGATAAAAAAGCTGCATGCCCAAGGTCAAACCAAGAATCAGTGGCACTACCTGGAGTGGAGCCTGGGTCAGTCCAGCCCAACAGAAGGCACAGGGGTAAGGGGGTGTACTCACAGACTGAGAATAATGGACCTAGAAGGGATTTAAGGAGCCCTTCAGAATCAATACCACTTCACAGATAGGACAATGAAAGTAATGAGTTAGGACCAGAACAAGAAGACAGGGCTTCTGACTCCCAGCTCCTATCAGAAGGGCACTTTTTATGGAAGATATCAAAAACCCAAAGGGAGGATCGGATCACACTCCCAGCTTCCCCAAGATGCTAGCACTGGACCTCACGACCACTTGCTGGGTTTAGACTGGATAGTAAATGGCATTAAGGAATTATTAATTTTGTTAGGTATGATAATGGCATTTTGGTTATGTTGAGAGGGAGCGAGCGATCAGGACCTTATCTGTTTGAGAAACATATAGAAATACTTATGAATGAAATAACCCAATGTTGGGGTTTTGCTTTAAAAATACTTATTTCAGCCTGGCCAGTGTGGCTCAGTGGATTGAGTGTCATTCTATGGACTAAGAGGTCCTGGTTTGATTCCTGGTGAGGGCTCATGCCCAGGGTTACAGGCTCGATCTCCAGTAGGGGGCGTGCAGGAGGCAGCCAATGGATGTTTCTCTCACACATTGATGTTTCTCTCTCTCTCCCTTCCTAAAAAAATTCAATAAAAACATATTTAAAAGAATAAACATAAAAATATTAATTTCAGCCCTTGCTGGTTTGGCTCAGTGGTTAGAGTGTCGGCCCACAGACCGGAGAGTCCCAGGTTCAGTTTCCTCTAAGGGCACATTCCTCGGTTGCGGTTTGTCCCCAGCCCTGGTTGGGGTCGTGTGGGTGGCAACCACTCAATGTGTCTCTCACATCGATGTTTCTCTCCCTCTCTCCCTCCTGCTCTATCTTAAGACAAATGCAGAAATGTCCTCGGGCGAGGATAAAAAAATATATATATATATACACACACACACACACACACACACACACATATATATACACACACATATATAAATTTCAGCCCTGGGTGGTGTGACTCAGTTGGTTGAGCATTGTCCCATGCACTGAAAGGTCATTGGTTTGATTCCCAATCAGGACACATGCCCACGTTGCTGGCTTGATCCCCAGTAGGGGTTGTGTAGGAGGCAGTCAATCAATGTTTCTCTCACATTGATGTCTCTCCCCCCACCACCTTCCTTTCACTCTAAAATCAATTAAAACATATTTTTTACAAATACTTGTTTCAGCTGTTGCCTGGTAGCTCAGTTGGTTAGAGCATTGCCCGGATATGTCAAGGTTGTGGGTTTGATCCCTGGTCACGGCACACACAAGAAGCAACCAATGAATGCATAAGTAAGTGGAACAACAAATCAATGTGTCTCTCTTAAATCAATCAATAAAAAATTTTTTTAAAGAGTTAAAAAAATACTTGTTTCAAGAGAGTGAGAAAGAGTGTGCAGGGTAGTGATGAAACAGGGCTGGCCATGTGTTGATGACTATCTGGAAGATGAATGATAGGTAAATGAGGGTTCACTATGGTCTCTACTTTTGTGTAAATTAAAAACAAGGTCTATGATCCCAAGGTGAAAGTAGTATGCTGTGGTTAAGAGCACTCAGACTAATCTAACCCAGACTCCAACTCCTGGCTCCACCATGTACTATCTGACCCTAGGCAAGCCATTCTCCATCTCTGAGCTGCTTTTCCATCTGACAAATAGAAGCAACAATCCCAACACTTACCCAGGTTGGGGAAGAATTAAAGGGTTTCCTATAGTGCCTGACAGAGCAATCTGTCCATAACTAGTGTTGTTTTCCTTATCACTATTATTGCTATTACTCTCACACCACCATACTACGTCATGATGAAGGGCTAGAGGCCAGATACTAACTTGAGGCTGGGGCCTGGAGTCCCTAAAAGATCAGTTAACTCTGTCCCCAACCCTGTCTCAGGGGTTACTTCTGACAACTTGGACACTCAGGGGCAGCCCTGGGCCCTTGAAGGCTGAGGCAGAGACTCACCTACAGCCCGGAAGAGACAGGCGCCGTCCTCCTTCATCTGCTTGATGATGAAGCCCTTCTTGTCTCGCAGGGCCTTTTCAAACCAGTGCTCCTGCTGCAGGGAAGAGGTGGGGGTCAGCAACAGGAAAGGCCTGTACCCCCTCCCCAGAGCTCTGCCCTTGAGCTCCTGAGGGGCCCAGCTGACTGGCTGAGAGGACACTGGGCAGGGTCATGTGCTCAGCCCTATTTTACCATTCAATGCATGTGAAGCAGGAGACCCTTTCTTTTAAGGAACCAGTCACTGTGTAAGCAAAAAATTTGCTGCCAGGGGAGCCCCAGCTGCATTCTTTCTCCTGCTAACCATGCTGGGACCTTCCCACAGGCAGCCAGAGGCCCAGGGCTGGTAAGAATGGGGAGCGGGGAGAACCTGGCTCTACCTCAAGAAGTTTCACCTGGGGACCCTCTAGCCACTTAGGGTAGGAGAGATGTTGAGAATGGAGTGATTAGTAAGATCTTCAGCCCCACACATAGCTAGGGAATTCCAAGATCTTGTATAAGGCAAAATGTATGGAAAATAGGCTTTTACTTGTGAGGGAACACATTTAACATATATGTATATGCATTATGTATACAAACACACATGCACACAAAATTGGGAAGGCTATGTAACAAAATATTATCCCTAAGTGTTGGTATTGCCGGTGATTTTACTTCACTTCCTTCTTTATAAGAGGTATGCAATTCCTTGTCCAAAATTCCATAACTCAGAATGCTTTGAAAGCCAAAAGACTTCATGTAACTTATTTGGCGTCATTACTAGACCTGAGATGATGAGAACCCACTTATCCCACTTGGAGATGAATATTCAAACATTTCCATGCAGAAACATTCTGGTTTTGATTATGAGGTGCTATTGCAGACCCCAATGGAGGTGTTACAGATAGATACACAACATACACACCAGGTGAATTTTCTAAATTCTGAAAATTTTCTAAATTCCAAAGCACATCTGGCCCCAAAAGTTCAGAAAGTGAACCTGCACAAATGTGTTTTTAAAAATAATGCAGAGATTAGACAGAATAGGGTTTTTAGGGTAGTGAAACTACTCTGTATGATACTATGATGGTGGATATATTTGTCCAAACTTCTAGAATGTACACCAAGAGTGAAACCCAATGTAAACTATGAACTTTGGGTGATTGTGATGTGTCAATGTAGGTTCATCGATTGTAATAAATGTATCACTTTAGTAGGGGATGCTGATAATGGGGGAGGCTATGTATGTGTGGGGGTAGGGAGTACATGGGAACTCCCTGTACTTTCTGCTCAATTTTGCTGTGAACCTATAACTGCTCTAAAAAATAAAGTCTATTAAAAAACTAGAATGTCCACGTGTCACTTCAAACATATTTTCCATTTCAAAACCAAACAAACCAAAAGCAGCACCTTTCCCAGGCCTCTCACGCCCTCTGCTGGCCATCAGAAGAAGCCAACCTGATCCAGCATCACAACTAGGGACCAAAAATCTCAGCCTGCTCCTTGGGGACACTTAGGAATTTATAGGAACCAGGCAACTGCCAACCTGAGGGGATCACCTCTCTGTAGGCTATTTTTCCCCAGCTCAAGAAAGAGAAATTCCTGGCAAAATAGGAAGCACAAGGTTTGGAGGCCAAAAGTTCTGGGTTCCAACCCCAGCTCTGTCACTCACTTGCATGATTTTGGGTAAGCTATATGAACACTCCAAGCCTGTTTCCTATCAAATGGGAGTTATGTAATATACCTGAAAGAACTGAACTGTCAAAAAGATCAAAGGAGCTTCAAGACCAGAAAAGGCTTTGTAAATAATGTTCCACATATTGGTGTGGTGGTCACCAGTCAGAGAAGGGGCGAGACCAGCACAGACAGAGATAATGTACAACTAAGAGGGCCTCAGAAAGTCCCAGGTGAGTGGCTGGACAGGAGGGGATGAAGAGGGGTTTACAAGGGAATACCCAGCAGCCCCAACATCAGGGCTCACATCCCAGGAAGGTATGGCTGACTGGCTTTCCAGAGATGACAAAGGCACTGGGAAGCCCTTAATGGGCTTCCATGGGCAGCACAAAGACTCTTGTTTGTGCACAACATTCCAGCAGTCCAGGTACTCTTCCTGCCCCAGAGGCTATGGACTAGCACACTCCAGCCAGTTCCCCCAAATCCATCCTTCTCTGCCCCATGGGGTCAGCCATCTTCTAGCACCACAGCATCTGCCCTAGCCAGGGGTCTCCAGCAGAGAAGCTGCACCTATGGCTACAGTCTCAGACTGTACAGGAGACATTCTAAAAAAGAAAGGCACACAGCAACCTCCTGCCCTCAAGTGTGTGTGGGGGTAAGGAGATCAAAGGGGATGAGAAGGCTTCCTAGTTATTTATCCAACAAAGGGTTACCAGGCAGGTACTAAGTCAACCTTGGGCTGCCCATGAGGCCAGAGAAATGAATCAGACTTGCTCTCTACCCTCCATAAACTCCCAAACTGCTAGAGGGATGGGGAAACAGGCAGTAACTACACACAAGTATTAGCAGGGCTGGGAAAGAGGTAAACACAGGAGTGCTGGACAACACAGAGGAAGGGACCTGGCCAGCCATAAAGCTAGCAACTGAGAGGATGTACCACCTGAGCAAAGGATTGAAACATCAAGACCTCCAGAAAAGCTTGTAAATTGGATAAGAAATCACTTCTGCCACAAAGCATCAGGGATGCCAGAGGCCAGCAATGAGTTCAGCAGAGCTTAGTCCTGGGTAGGACTATGATGGTAAGTAGGGCAGGGCCAGGAAAAAAGATGAACTCATATTAGCCAATGCCTGCCTCACACCAGATGCCAGATGTAAAAGGTGACTTCTTAATTGTAGCACAGCCCAGATGGCAGGAAGCATTATCCTCATTTTATAGAGGCAGAAAAGAGCTGGGGTTTGGGGACCAGAAAGTCCTAGTGTAGAGGCAACAGGGCAGGCCCCATGAGCCATAATAAGGAGACCTACTTGACAGGCCATCCTGGGGGAAGCCTGGTTTGTCCCTAAAAACGAGGGAGACCTGAGCATACCCTTTGCACAAGCAGGGCTTTAGTCCTGCAGCAGCCAAAGTAGCATCTGCGCCTAGATCTGGAGGCCAAGCCACTAGCTACCCACTGGCTTTGGCACCAGAGTAGCCTTAAGATCCTGTGCTCTTCCTGAAACTCCTTCTCTCTCTCCATGAGGAGAGAAAACAGGGAGATTTTGGTCCTATTTTCCAGAAAGTTTATACAGTTCCAGAAGCTCCTAGCACAGTCTCTTCCTTACCCTAGCTGGACAGGAGCCTCCAAGAAAGGTGCCCACTTGGAAGTTGTTTAGGAAAATGGCCCAGGAAGGAAAGGCTGGTGAGGGGGGTGCTGACCCAGCCATAGAGAAGTTTAAGCTACATCAATGCCCTGGCCTGAGGAAGTCAAGTGCAGACCCTCAATCATGCAAGCCCACTACTGAGCCTGTGCACAAATCCATCCACATCTCTGAGTCTCCACAAAGAGACTGGGCAAAGCCTTCTGACACCAGGGGATCCCAGGTGCAAAACTCTGCAACCTCCTGGTCCAAAGGCCCAAGAAAAGTTGAAACACACCATGGGACCCAAGTGAATTAGGTTCCAATCCACCTCTAATCATGAGCCATGTGATGAACTACTCTGAGCCACAGTTTTCCAAACTGTGAAATGGGATAACAAGCCTCCCAATAATAGGGATACTGGGCAGACTCAAATATTACAGGACTCTGCCCAGGAGGAGAGCACTTAATGAGTTCACTTCCTCTCCCTGGAAGGGAAACAAGAACACCCCTGTAGTAGGCTGAATAATGGCCATCCAAACATAACAGACCCCCAACCTGCACGGTTTGGTTCAGCAGTTAGAGCGTCGGCCCGCGGACCAGGGAGTCCTGGGTTCAGTTCCCGCTAAGGGTGCATACCTCGGTTGCAGTTTGTCCCCGCTCCAGTTGGGGTCCTGTGGGTGGCAACCACTCGATGTGTCTCTCTCACGTCGATGTGTCTCTCTCTTCCCCACCTCTCCCTCCTGCTCTCTCTGAAGATAAATGCAAAAATATGCCCCCGAGGATTAAAAAAAAAACAAAAACAGATAAGACCACATACACAGAGAAGATGATGTGCAGACAGGTAGAGGTCAGAGTGATACTCTCACAAACCAAGCAATGTCAGCAGCCCCCAGAAACTGGAAAAGGACTGGGTTCTCCTCTAAAGACTCTGGAAGGAGTGAGGCCCTGCCAACACCTTGATTTTGGACCAGTGAAACTGATTTTGGACTGCTGGCCTCCAGAACTGTGAGAGTATGTCTGTTGTTTTAAACCACCCAGTTTGTCATAATTTGTCACAGCAACCACAGGAAAAATATACAATCCCCTGGTATCACTCCTGGTGTGAGCTGTGAGGCAATGCCATATGGCTATCAGCTTGCAAGATCCACATTTCCAGCACCCGCCCCGCAGGGGGGAGGGTTAGAATCAAAGCAGCAGGAGCCTGGACTCCCTCATAGCCTAGAAAGCTGCTGATCCTAACCATCAATAAATGAGCTGCCGCCCTGGCTAGTTTGGCTCAGCGGTTGAGCGTCCGCCTGCGGACCAGAGAGTCCCAGGTTCGGTTCCCGCTAGGGGCACGTACCACAAAAAATAAAAATAAATGAGCTGCCACTGAAGGGGAGAGGGAGCAGAAGACGGTAGCAGCAATGGCAGCTCATGGACAGATGTTTTCCCAGAGCCCATGGCTAAGAGGTGTTCAGTATTCTGGGCTTCACAGCTCTGTCTTCACAAGCCTGGCTTAGCTCCACACACAAAACAGAGGCAACCCATCCAATGAAAAACACAGATGCACTGCTCTCTCACGACCAACACAAGCTCTCCAGGGCAGAAGGATGGGAAAAGAGCAAGACCCTACAACATAATGCCAGGCTTCTGCAGGGAAGGGGATAAAAAATGAAGAATCTAAGATTCTATTATGATGTAACGAAAAGAAATGAAGTACTGATCCATGCTACAATATGAATGGGCCTATGCTGAGTGAAAGAAGCAGTCATGCCCTGGCCAGTTTGGCTCAGTGGTTGGAGCATAGGCCTATGGACCAGAGAGTCCTGGGTTCAGTTCCCACTAGGGGCACATACCAAAAAAAAAAAAAAAAAGAAGCAATCACAAAGGACTGCATATTGTATGATTCCATTTCTACAAACCATCCAGAAGACAAAAAGTAGATTAGTGGTTGCCAGGGCTGGGAGAGGGTGAGGGGACTGGGAGATGATGATGACGATGAAGGGTTTCTTTTTGAGGTGATGAAACTTTTCTCAACTTGATTGTGGTGATGGATGCACAACCCTGTGAGTACAGTAAAAGCCACTGAATTTTACACTTTAAACTGGTGAATTGTATAGTGTGTGAATTATGTCTCAGTAAAGCTATAAAAACTAAAAACAACTCAAGAACCTATAGGCCAGGGAGAAGGAAGTGGAATGCTGCCTGAAACTTCATAGCATACCACCACCAAAAGCTAAGGGGCCCCACTCAAAACTTTCTAAATGGGTGGGGGGTGGGGAACAAGGAATTAAAGAGGTTACAACTAGCTTCAGAACAGAATCCAACCTCCCTCCTCACCACTACCCATTTTATGGACAGAGAAACTGAGACCCAGAAAAGGGAACTGCCCAAAGAAACAGGACTCAAATCCAGGCTGCCCAAGCAGGGACCACTTCCTGCTATACCACTCTGCCTCCCCACAGGAGGAATCAATAGGTTACAAAGACTCCTAGGAAGAACCCAGATGATCCTGGGGAAACTGCAAGAGAAGAATCAGCCAAGGTCTGAGGTGGGTCATTTAGATACTCACACACTCAATCACTGTGCATGGGTGGACTTCTGCAAAAAGAAAAGGCAGCTGAGGGTTTGCCCAAAGCTATGAAGTAGCTAAGCAGGAGGCCCTGGGGTTTGAACTAAGGCCTGCCCAGTTCAAAAGCCCAAACTCTTAACATATACAACCTTACTTCCACACCATCCAATAGGCCCCCTGACAGGCAACCCCCAAGCTTATTCACCACAGCACAGTTGACCAAAAAAAAACAATAAACCCTGAGCCTCACACCAACCAGGTTGCTTGTCCTGCCCACCAACCTTGGATGGCTGGGAGGAAATGAGGGGGCAAGGGAGAGAAGAGGAGAAACCCAGTTCTCTCTCAAAAGACACCCACCATTCTCTGTCGCCTCCAGGTCCAGAGAGCTTTGGTGTGAGCTCTCTAAAATCCCAAACCTAGCCCTGGCTGGTTTTGCTCAGTGGTTAGAGCATTGGCCCACGGACCAATGAGTCACAGGTTTGATTCCAGTCAAGGGCAGGTACCTCGGTTGAGGTTTGTCCCGGGTCGTGTGGGAGGCAACCGGTCAATGTGGGAACCACATCGATTTTTCTCTCTTTCTCTGTCTCCCTCTCTTCCACTCTATCTAATGATAAATGGAAAAATATCCTTGGGTAAGGAATAAAAAATAATAATAATAATAATAATAATAAAATCCCAAACCTAAATGACCCCCCCATCTGATCCTTACCTGACCAATGAGGAGAGGCCCAGAGAACAGAAGCATAACTATTATTGTTCATCCAGCAAAACCCCAGCAGAGCCTGAATAGGAACCCAGGCACCCTGGCTATAGTGCCAGGTTCAGCTTCTCCCACCACCTCAGCATGCATGCCCCGTTCTAAAAATGTTGTGGGGTCCTCAAGCTGAGGACGCTTTGAAGCCATTATTTTCATATAGTAGACTCTCAGTAAGGTAGCCCTGATTGGGAAAGGAAATCCCTGACCCTAAGTTGCCAAAAGGGTTCCTAAAGGCAATAGAGGTAAAGTCACAGCATCGGGACAAACAGGAAGTCTGAGCAGTCAGACTCACCATGTGGGCCCTCTCTCAAAAACTCCCCTCTTTCCTAAGGAATTTAATTGGCTGCTAGGCTACAAATGTCCCAGTGACAGTTCAGGACCAGACTGTGGCAGCAGGAAGAATCTCTCTCTTATCGTCAATGAAAGGTCCCAAGTTGGACCAGGTGCAGCAGGGAGAAGCATCTTCCTCCTTTTATCCCAAGAAGTGGGAGGACAGAAAGCTTCTCCTCTGTATTTGGGAAGATATCATGCAACCACAGAGTTTTACTTTCATGTTCTTGTGGAAACAAGTATAAAGGAGGAACTCTCAGCCTAGGAGATGCAAAGGGGATATAAGGAGGTATCATTCTAGTCACCATGGCAGCACATGACTTTCTTTCTCTCTATCCCTGGGACAAAGAATGTATCTCTCTCTATTTCTGCGAAGGAAGAAAGGCAGACTTTGCCCCAAGCAGGGAGAGAAGAAGCAATTCCTAGTCCTGACTCTGTGGGTCCAGATGATTTACCTTGCCTGGAGTAGTAATGGGTGGAAAGGCAACAAGGAGGGGGGCTCAAGATAAGGCCCAGGCCCCTGTGAAGTACAGAAAGATTTATTTGAGCCAAAGGAGACAGGGATATGGGTGGAGAATTTCCCTGGAGTGGGAATGTCCCAAACCCTTTTCCTGTCTCTGGAAAGAAAAAAGCTTGTTGAAAGCAATTCAGGAAGCTCAGAATATTTCCCCAATCCTGTAAATGAGAAGCAAGCAGAGCTGGGTCAGGGTGACTCTCAGAATATCTGCTAGTTATTAAGGGGAGACTCCAGTCCCCTGTCCCCAGTAACTGACAACCTTCTCATAGAAAGTAAGGGGACCTTCTTGGTCTGAGGATAAGGGTTTCTTATGACTGTGAAGAGCACCCAGATACTTCTGTCCAATGGGGGAGGCCTTAGGCCACATTGGGGAGGACCTCATGTCCTTTTCCCTGATGATCAAGGATTACCTGGTTGGGGGGGGGGGGGGTGCTTCATATCCACAAGGGGGATAGGGCTCAAGTCTCTCTCTGAGGTGAAGGACCTCTTGTCCCTAAGAAGCTTAGACCCCCTGGGAAAAGGCTCCAATTCTTTTCCTCAGAATCTCACCTTACCTATGTCTCCAAGGGGAGTGGGCAGTTCTCAGGACTTAGCTCACAAGAAGAGGGTGGTCTTAGACTCAAGTCCCCAAGACAAGAAATCTTACATCCCTAAAAGGCCACCATGACTCAGGTATATGTATGCTGTCTGAAATGAGGTGACTCTCAGAGCAGGCCAGGTCTCAGGTCCTAAGGTGAAGGAGATGTCACATGTACATGACGGCAAATTCAAACTCTTGGGGAGGAGTGGAAGACTCAGGACCCTATTTCCCAAGAACTCTGAATCTATGCTCCCAAGGGAAGGGTTTTGGGAATCAGTTTTGGTGGTGGGGAGTTCTATTCCATAGCAGTACCTTAAGTTCCTTGAGGGGGAAGCTCAGACCTCATCTACAGAGATACAACAGTCACAGGGGTACATAAGGGCCTCTTGTCCTTGAGGGAAAGCTCAAGTGTCCTTGGCACAGTGGGTCTCTGGTCCCTGAAGGCAGACTTAGGTCCATGGGAGGCCTCAGACTCCATTTCTGGGACTCCATTCTGCCTAGATCTCAAGATCAAGTTCCCAAGGCAGAAATCTTACATCCTTGACAAGCTCAGGCACTTGGCAGAGGGGAGGGGGGTGCTTAGATCCCTGTTAAAGGGGGAGAGGGAGCTATCAAGATGTGTTTCAGTCTTTCATAATTAGGTAAAAGGACCTCACATTCCTGTGCGTGTGTGGGGGCCGGTGGGGGGGGGTGTCTCAGGCCCCCAAGGAGAACACTCAGACACTAGGCCCTGAAGAGAAAGGTCCCCTAAAGATTTCACCTTGCCTGGGACCTCTGTGGGGAGATATCAGTCTCCTGAAGAGGCTTCAGATCCAGTCTCTAAACGCCTGAGTCCTTAAGCAGGGGGAATCTTAGGCTCTAGCATCCAAAACAGTGAGTCTCATATTCTTGATGAAAGGTTCAGGCCTGGTAGGGGTGAGGGGCCAAAGGTCTATCACTTAAAAGAAGTTTAAGCTCCTGGAGAGAAATCCAGACTCCTGTCCCCCAGGAGGTCTCAGACTACTGAGAGGAACACAGACCTTTGTCACTTAAGAGAATGAGTCTCATACACCCCAATAGTTTCTGGTCCCTGGGTATTGGTTTTGGCTCTTGCTCCAAGGGGAAGGGAATCTTATCTCCCCAAGTGAAGCCACATCCCTGGAGGAAAGCTCAGAAGATCCCTTTCTCTAAAGGGGATGAATATGTGTGTTTCAGGCCCTTTTATTTTATAAAAGAGAGTCTCAGGCCCTTGAACACAAGTTTAGAACCCCTGGGGAAATGTCAGACCCCACTACTGAGGGTCCTGTGCTGTGTCCTCCTGAGAAGGAAGGGGAGGGGTTGTCCTATACAGAGTTTCTCAGACCCGTGGAAGAATTTAAGTTATCTTGGGGACACTCAAACATCTCTGAGGTCTCCATCTTACTTGTGTCCACTGGAGAGGATCTTAGGCTCTTATCTCAGAGGAAAACAAATATCAAACCACCAAACACAGACCAAGGTCCCTTGGAGAGTCACGAGACTCCCCTCTCAGGAGGCATTTCATCCTGCCTGTTTCTCCAGGGGAGTTCCCACCTATTGGACCTACAAGATGAGGTCCCAGGGCCCAGAAAAGACCCCAAACCCTATCTTTAAGTCCTCCGTCTTATCTGGGGCCTCTAATCTCAAGCCCTTGGGGAAAGGGGGCTGGGAAAGATGGTGTCTCACGTCCCTACTACCAGAGAAAACATTGTCAGGCTCCGAAAGAAGACGTTTAAGTCCCCTGGGTCCCTACCCAGTCTGGGGATCCCATCCACCATACCCGCTCACTTGTCATCTCCAGCCCATACCTGCTCGACAGTGGCAGGGTCCATGGCTTCGATGCGCGCTGCAGCCGCTTCATACTCATCCTCACTGTTGTAACCTGCACCGACGTCCTCACGCTCCGGACTGCCCCCGCCAACCGAACCAACCCCGGGGGCTTGACGCCGCCGCTTGCTGTGGCCAGGCCCGGAGCAACAGCCGCCCACGCCCACCGTGCCGCCCACGCCCACCACCACGCCAGCCGCGCCTACACCTGCTGCTGCTGCACCAAGCGCGTCGCCCGGACCGCCGCCAGGACCGCCCGGGCCCCCACAAGGAGGAGGAGAGCCCTGCTGAGGCCGGGGACCGGGCACGGCGCCAGGCGGCACAGCCAGCGCCCAGCGATGAAGTGCACCCGGTGGCCCTGGCAGCGGGCCCTGAGGCGGCGGTGAGGCCCGCTGACGGGCCCCCACGACGCCTGACTCACGGTCGCGGTCGCCGCTGCTCACGCCCGTGCCGCCACCGCCTACGCCCACACCCCCGCCGCGGCGCGGCGCCGGGGGCAGTGGCCCAGACGGCGGCGGCTCGTTGGCGGGGTCGGCGTCGGGAGGCGGCGGCTTCTTTTTGGGGAGAATAGTCATGGCGGCACAGCCGAGTACCCCCCAGCAAACCCGGCGCGCGGCACGCCGGGAGAGAACCCGGATGAGGGGCTACAGTGGTGCGCGAAGCACGACGGGATCGGCGGGACCCGGATAAAGAGATTGAGGCACCGGTTTGAGAGCCGTAGGCGGCGCGCAGGTCACGCGACAGAAGAACCCGGATGCGAAGTCAAAGGTGAAGGCAGCGCGGCAAGCGTTGTCGCCTACTCTCCGAGTTCGACAAGTTGATTGTTACGCTCTTTCCGGCCTTCCGGTTCAAAGGAAACAGAACCAAAACAAGCAGCTCTTCGCCCCGCCCCCTCGCAGGTTCTTGAACTACCGGGTGGGGTCCCGGGGCCGCGCGCACGCGCGCCAGAGCACAGCCCCGCCTCTTGCTCGGAAGTACGTGGGCAAAATCTTCACTGCCGCCACAACAATTGCGGGCACTAACCAATCGAAGCGGCTGCGTGGGTCCTCACTGACGGGCAAGGGCCAATCAGAGGCGAGCGGTCGCCCTCCCTTGCCCTCCTCAGCTTTCAGTCAAAGTCGGAACCCTGGTTCTTGGCCTTTCTTCTCGTGGCGCCGTCCTGCTCTTGACTTCTCTCCTTGAGGCTTTGACTCGCAGGCGGAGGTACTGCGACAGGACAGCTTGGCCTGCCCGGCCCACAACAGTTTTAAAAGCGCCTCTCTTCCAGGTTTCCAACTTGGCCGCTGTCAGTTGGACTGACAGGAAAATAATCAACACTCTCAGAGCATAGCAATCCCCAGAAGCGTCAGTTCCGGTCCCACCCACCTGTAAATCCACACCCGTGGAGAGGCGGGTACCGTTTCACCTTGGCAACAGGCTGAGAGCTGCAGTGAATGGTTAAGAGATGCAGTCACTCACAGCGGACGGGCCAACCTTGGGACAGACATTCATCGTGGGGACAGTGGGTGTTTGGGAAGCAGACACGCCCTCTTTGGCACCGCCGCACTTTCGCCCCCGCGTTGACCTCCCCGCCCCTGTGGCTAGTGCGCAGGCGCGGCACAGCTGCCTATTTTTTTCCCCCGTGAAACTGAATTTACCTGTATCAAGCAAAACTTGATTCATCCATCCTTGTCACCATCTAGCGTCTCACAATGGGGTTGGTAAGAATCTCTGCTACTGAGCAGCTGGGAAAATTAAAAGCTAATCCTAGCTCTGCTCCTCTTGTCTGCGTGATCTCTGGCAAGTTATTTAACATCCACCCAATCCTCAATTTCTACTTCTCTGTAAAATGGCAATGATGATAATTCCAATTTCAAAGTCAGAGATTCATGCTTGTAAAGGGCCTGGTAGTGTTTGTGGCACATAGTAAGTGCTCAATAAATTAGCATGACGGTGCACCGGAAAGGATCCCAGACTTTGGAGTCAGGAAGACCTCAGTCCCAGGCACAGATGGCCCATTACCAACTGTAGGACCCTGAGCAAGTCATTGTGCCTCAAATTTGAGGTTACCCATGTGTAAAATGGGGATGATAATGCCTGCCCAGACTACCTCAGGAAGTAATTATGGGATTCCGATGAGCTCATAAACCAAGAAGCTGTTGTGAAAGGTGAGGGCCTGCTATGTCTTAGGAGCCAAGCCATACAACAGGTTGACTGAAAGAGAGACCATCAAAAAGCTCTTCTGAATGCCACCTAACCTTTTCCCTTCAGATGCCAACCCTAGTTGAAGTCTTCCCTGAAGGGTGTCAGTAATAAATACACTATTGTGTTTTCTTTTCATGAGACTTAATGGGAGAGGACTCACATTTACTGGGCCTATTGTGTTCAGGGAACGGAGACCAATGCCTATGCATGTTATCACATTGAATCTTTTCATGACCATGTCACTTGACCCATATATCCCACTCCATACTGGTTATTGGTCCGGCACCACACATCTAAAACTGAACTTATGCCCTGGCCGGTATGGCTCAGAATTTAGAGCATTAGCCCTTGGACCGAAGGGTCATGGGTTTGATTCCCAGTCAGGGTCGTGCAGGAGGCAATCAATCAATGTGTCTCTCTCACATCAATGTTTCTTTCTCTCTCCCTCCCTTTCTTCCACTCTATCTATAAATCAATGGAAAAATATCCTTGGGTGAGAATTAACAATAAATAAATAAATAAACAAATAAAACTGAACTTATGATAATAATTGTAGCTAATCATTACCAAGTACTTACTATGTGCCTGGCACTGTGTGCTAATGGCTTTGATGTTCCCCTTGACAGTGTATGACACCCTCCAGCCTTTGTGTAAACCAGAAACCTAGGAGTCAGCCTTACCTCTTCCTCAACTCCCAGATGCCTGTCAATCCTAAACCCCACCAATTCTACCTCTCAAATCTTTTGACTCTCCAATTCTTACTGCCACTACTTGGCCAGAGCACCATCACCTACCAATTAGACCACTGCAAAAGCCTCCTCTCCTCCTCACTGCTCTTCCTCCCTCCAAGATTGTTTCTCTAGAATCCACTCTCCACAACTAGAATTATCATTCTGAAACACAAACCTCATGATGACTTTCCTGTTTATAAGCCTTTAGAGGTCCCATGATTCCTTAGGATGAAGTCCAAAATCTGTATCCTAGCTTCAGAGGCGTTTTGTGATCTGGCTTACCTCTATATTCTCACCTTCATCATAGCCTCACACTCTCCTTCCCAGCTCTACTCAACTAATTTAAGTTCCCCAAAGGCCCCAAACTCGCTCTCTAACCTCCAGGTCTTTGCAAATGCTGTTCCCTCTGCCTAAAACACTTGTAGCCTCTTGTCTTTTGCCTGCCTAATTGCGCCTCATTCTTCTTGTGTTGGCCAGGTTAGATTCTCCTGCCATCTACATGCTTCTGTACTCCATCTATCTTAATTCTCCTGGACTATATTGTAATTACTTAGTTGCCTTTCACATTCACCTCTGTAGGACAGAGATGATGTCTACTTTGCCTATCTCTGTACTCCTAGGGAAAGCACATGATGTCCAGTTAATAAATATTTGGTGAATAAAAGAATCATTATCTGTTTCACAGATTAGCAGCCTGAGGCAACAAAAAGTAAGTAATTCTCTCTCCCAGGGATTGGAACTCAGGCCAACCTGAATCCAAGTTCTGTCTTCTTGGTGCTCCACAGAGCTCAGCATACTAGGCTAGTCTACCCAGTAGCACAGAAGAGAAAATGTAGGGGACGTGCACAGGAAGGGGGATTTGCCATACTGAGAGATTCTTTTCATCAGGGTTCAATTCAGAGCCATTTGCTGTCAGTAAACCTGGGTTTAAGTGTCTCCCAAAGCAAGCATGTGCTGCTCTGGATTTCAGTTTCCCCATTTGTGAGTGAGGGAGCTGGAGCAAATGATGTCTAAGGGAGCATGTCTCAAAACTTCCTAGCCTGTCTCACTGGTTGGAGTCAACTCTTCAAACTCCCCTTTTTCATTTCTCCTGGATTCCCATCTTCCAGAACACATCACCAACCACCTACCTCCCATACCTTTACCCACACCAGCCCTTCTACTAGTTAAAAAGAATTGAAATCAGAGTACTTTAAATTCCCCAGCCCTACCCAGCCCCCAAATGCACAGAGCCAGGAGGTGCTCATCCTCATTTCTCCTCTCAGGTTTTATTGACTGATGGAAACTACATCTTTGTCAGCCACCAGCTCCACAGGGACAGTGCTGGGGACAGGGAACCTGAGATGATGCCAGATAATCAGCCTGAGAGCAGAGTTCCTGAAGGTGACCCAAGAGAGAGAAGAGAGTGAAATATGTGAAAAGGTGTTATGGGGAGGAGGAGATAAAGAAGTTCCTCCTGCCTCCTACAACTCCCAGAGTTCAAGAACAACCTAGGCCTCAGCCCCTGATGCTTCTGGACTCCTGCCCAGGAACATGGAATCAGCTCATAATCTCCAAACCCAGCCCAGACCAGCCCTTGCTGGTTGCCAGGTGCTTATCTCAGCCAGTCCAGACTCCAACCCAACCCAGGAAGGAAGCAAACCAGAGGAGAGAGGAGTATTAGAGGTGGCCCCTCTGATTAGGGCAGATGTAATTGCTGCAGCAAACGGGGCAGAGGCTTTGCATAATGTCACGGCAGCAGCTGCTATTGCTAGAGTTTGCTGGGGGCCCAGCAGAGGATGGGGTTGCGAGGACCCATTTCCAGTAGCCAGAGAAGGGGAGTAGTGTTTGTGCTATCTGTGTGTGTTGGCAGAGGCAGCCTGACCCCTGAGCCAAGGCCTGGGGGTGGAATGTCACTGCTGAGGCCACAGCCCATGAAGCCTGTGGTTGCATTCCAAGCTTTGGAATTTGGGCGTTGTTGGGCCTGGTGGAGGGTGGGGACCTCTCTTAGAGGCCAGATCAGAGGTGATGGTTCTCTTCTCTGAACCCCCAAACCTCCACAGCCCAGACAGAGAGGAGGAAGTCTCACCTCTTCTTCTCAGGCTAGAGCTCAGATGTCAGGTGGGAGCCTGAGGGCCCAAAGGGAGGAGCATGCAGGAGGCCAGCTGGGGGAGAGGGTCTGGTCCCAGTGTACTGGGGCAAGGAGGCTGGGGGCCTGAGGAAGCCCAGTGATTCAGCTCCTACCGGGGGGAGAGGAGATAACCCATTCCCTGGCTACATCCCCACAAGGTGGGCCATTCCATGCAACTCCATTGCATAGTTCTCAGTGGGGGGCAGAAGGGGTCCCCAGGCCTGCTCCTGTCTGCCTCCCCAAAATATGGCTTTGGAAAGGAGTCCCCAAGAATCACAAGGGCCCTCTGGATCGGTGGGCCCACCCCTCACAGGGAAGAGATCTTCACAGTCTCAGGGAGGAGGCAAGGGGTACCCAGTCTGGAGTTCCTGAGGGTGCTGCTGGCCCCACTGCCACCACTGCCACCAGGGTAGGAAGGTTGGCTTTCATCTGGGGTGTTGGCAGGAGGGGTAGGGATACTGATGATGGCAGCCACGAAGTCCCGGCTGTCACAGTTCAGGTCAAGGCTGTCATGGGGCTTGGCATTGAGGCTTGAGCGGCTGTGGATAAGGTGGGGGGAAGATGGAAGGTTCTTAAGAAGTCATCTTCATACTTGCCATAGCAATCATGACATTTACTGAGCAGCTACTGGATTCCTGGCACTGTGCTAAATGGTTCCCCTGTACCCCCAATTATGGTGGTGCAGAGTGAGGGCTCTGGAGTCAGGCAGTCCTGGGTTTGAATCCTGGTCCCACTTTTACCACTCTAAACCTCTTTTTTCTCTCATCTGAAGTGTGGGAATAATAATGCAATAAGTCCTCATTTAACATCGTTGATAGGTTCTGTGACTTTAAGTGTAATGATGTGCAATGAAACAAATTTTACCATAGGCTAATTGATAAAAACAAGGGTTAAGTTCCTAGGCATCTCATCAATGTCATAAGAGAATGACATTGGGTATATTACTCAACCATAAAAGGAATGAAAGTATACCATCTGTGACAACATGGATGGACCTAGAGGGTATTATGCTAAGTGAAATAAGTCAGACAAAGAAAGACAAATACCATATGATTTCACTTATATGTGGAGTCTAAAGAACAATAAGAGTGAACAAACAGTACAGAAACAGACTCACAGATACATAGAACAGACTGTTGGTTGCGAGAGGGGAGGGAGTTTGAGGGACTAGGTGAAAAAGGTGAAGGGATTGAGAAGTACAGATTGGCAGTTATGCCCTGGCCGGTTTGGCTCAGCAGTTAGAGCATCGGCCTGCAGACTGGAGACTCCTGGATTCGGTTCCTGCTAGGGCCATGTACTTCAGTTGCAGTTTGTCCCTGACTGGTTGGGGTCGTGTGGGTGGCAACCATTTGATGTGTCTCTCTCACATCGATGTTTCTTTCTCTCTCTCTTCCCCACTCTCTCTTTCCCACTCTATCTAAAGATAAATGCAAAAATGTCCTCCAATGAGGATTAAAAAAACAAAAACAAAAACATATTGGCAGTTACAAAATAGTCATGGGGATGTAAAGTACAGCATAGTGAATGTGCTCAATAATATTATAGTAACTATGTATGGTACCAGGTGGATACTGGAAATATTGGGGGAACACTTTGTAAAGTATGATTGTCTAACCACTATGCTATATACCTGAAACTAATACAAAACAATATTGAATGTAAACTGTAATTTTAAAAGAACAAAAAGAAAAACACAAAATGACATTAAACAAAATGATGTTATTCAAGGACCTGTTGTATATCCTACCTCATAGGGTTCTTGTGGAGCCTGAGATAATAAATGATACAAAGTGCTGAGAAGAGTGTCTGGAACATAATGAGCTCCCCCTTCACACACACACACACACACACCCACACACACACACAATGTTATCTATTATAATCACTCCTTACAATGCCTATGTCCTTACAATAGTCTATAGTAAAAGAGCTACATAATCTGGTCCCTGTGCCTTTTTTATTGTATTTCCTACCACTCTCCCTCACCCACGCCACTCTACTCACAGTAGCTTCCTGGCTGTGTCTTTATTTATTTATTTATTTATTTATTTATTCATTCATTCATTCATTCATTTATTCATTTATTATTTGGTATGTGCCCCTAGTGGGAACTGAACCCAGGACTCTCTGTTCCGCAGGCTGACACTCCAACCGCAAAGCCAAACCAGCCAGGGCCTGGCTGTGTCTCTTATTAGACACATTCAGACCCACTCCTGCCTCAGGATCTTTGCACAGGCTGTTTGCTCTGCCTGAAAAGCTATTCCTCTAGATATCTACATGGCTCACTCCCTGGCCCCCTTCAGGTCTTGGCTCAGATGTTAACACAGTAAAGCCTTCCCTGACCACCTGGTTAAAATTATATCACACCCTGTTCTACACTCTCTATCTGCATCCCCAATTTATTTTCTCCTTGGCACTTAATACTACATCATTTGTGTATTTGTTTAATGGTCACATCCCATAGAATATAAGTTCCAGAAGGTCAGGGATTTCTGCCTGTTCTAGTCACTGCCTAAAGTGAACTAAATTCCTAAACTCATAAATTCCTAAACTCCAAAGTACCTAAAACTGTGACTGGCATATAATAGACGCTCAATAAATGTTTACTGAAAGAATGAATAAAGAACGAGGAGTTCCAGCCCTGGCCAGTTTGGCTCAGCGGTTGGAACATTGGCCTGCAGACCAGAGAGTCCTGGGTTTGGTTCCTGCTAGGGGCATGTACCAAAAAAAAAAAAAAAAAGATTAAAAAAGAACGAGGAGTTCCAGACAAGATAAGCCCAAACTCCCAGGATGGAAGAGTTTGGGTTTGACTTGCTAGGCCTTGAGTCATGAAATCTCAGACCCTCTGGTACAAGCTCCGAGCTTTCCCAAGCATGGCCAGCTGGTGGGGGGTTACTTACCTCTGAGGGGTAGGGCTCCTCCTCAGCCCTGTCAGAGTGTTCAGTTCCTGCATGCTGCCACGGCTGACCGAGGCAGTGGAGTTGGCAAGGCGGATGGCACGGCGCTTGGCCCTGCGGGGGCAGCAAGAGGATAACAGGCTGCCAGGCCCCACTGGCTGGGAGGACACAGAGGTGCTGCGGCTTGTGCGGCCACCCAACGAGACAGCGCCCAGGGCCTCATTGAAGGTTAGCTCGTCTGTGAACTCATGGCACTGTGGGAAGAAGGGAGGCATAGTCACAAGGCACCTTACAGGAGCTGCCCCCACTGCCAGGCCTTTGCTTATGCTGTTCCTTCCTTTCTGGAAGTTGTTTTCTCTTCCCTTGCCCACCCTTCAAGGCTCAGCTCTATAGGGCCTCTTCCAGGAAGCCCTACGTGATTTCCACAATTAGTAGTGAGCCTCCAGTCCCACAGAGGGTTTGGTGGCAGAGAGACCCCCTTAATTCTGCCATGCCACTTCTTGTTAAGCCTCACCGTTGTTTTCTCTAGACAATGCAGCAAGTGGTGATGTTGTTGCTCAAAAGCAGAACGGTTCCTGACACACAGTGCTTGTTCCTCCCTGCTGTCACTGTCCTGGAGTGGATGGAGCAGAGAAATGAGGTCAGCACCTTCCTCCTACTATCACTGCTCATGACCAACCCCAATCTGGGAGCTACTCACCTCAAGGCCCCCGTTCTGCTTGTACTGCAGGAAGGCGTTGGTGGTACCACTCTTTGCCAACCGGATCCTTGCCAAGCGCACCTTCTATAGAGAGGAGAGAAAGAGTCAGGTGGGTAAACACAAAAGGTGACTAACTGCCTTAGGGTGGGGGGCAGTAGGAGATATTTAGATGGAAGGTGCAGCTACCTGCTGTGCTCGGCGCTTGTCAGCACGCTGGTTCTGGTGGTAGATGCGGCTGAAGTTAGAAACAATGACTGGCACAGGCAGGGCAATGACCAAGACACCACTGAGTGAACATATGGATCCGAAAATCTTTCCAGCAATGGTGCTGGGCACCATGTCTCCATATCTGGGGCCAGAGGAGGTAAGGCAAGGTCAAGAAAAGTGCCCACCCACCCCTCAGTTCCCCACGGAATCCCATCCAATCCAACTCATTCTGCAACCCTAGCCAAGCACTTGAACTCTCTGAGCCTGTTTCTTGCTTTGCAAAATGTGAGGGATAACCTTTCCGGCCACCAGTGGGGGTCAAATGAGAATGGGCCCTCAGCCCCTACCATCTGCTGCCCCCATCTGGGCTGTGCACTTGCCATCTGACTCAGCTGGAAATCTATTAATACCAAGCATGGGGGAGAAGGAGGAAGTCACGGGCAGTAAACATAGTCTCCTGGAGAGAGTTCCACCACAATAAGCCAGCTGAAGGGCTCTGAGTTCCAGCAGCAATAGTCCGATGGTTTTGCTTGCATCTGTCTTACCTTCTCTAGGTAGGACCCCTTTCTATTCCCCCAGGGGAAACTTTGAAACTACCCTCATATGAAAAAATAGGGGGGAGCCTTAAAACTCCCCCCCTCCCTTTCTCCATGCCATCACCCCTCCCATGGAGATGGAGCAGAGCCAATCTTACCACCTTGTTTCACAGAGGGGGTGAAAACTTAAGTCAGGAAGGTTCCATAACTGACTTGCTTAAGATTACACAGCATACTTTTGATCTAAGCACAGGACCAATCAGATCCCCTTCACAAAAGTGCAGCCTCGCCCTGGCCGGTTTGTCTCAGCAGTTAGAGCATCGGCCTGCAGTCCCAAAAGTGCAGCCTCTACAGTCTTAAGCCTCTACACCTTTGCTCAGGCTGTGTACGTCTCCCCATGGCTCTTCCTTATTTCTTTATTTTGACTCATTTATTTATTTTACTTATTTAAAAGTCTCTCCAACTTGGCTATTTCTGGCTCTGTGATGTGTCATCTCAGACTATATCCTCAACTAGGAGGCATGGGCAGCTGCCCACCCTCCCAGGGTTATTGTGAAGACTGAATAGGATAAAAGCTATCAAAATACCCAGTTCCAATCCATTCTCAAGGCTCAGTATTTGTCCGTCGACCTAATCATAAATGTCCAATCAGAATTAATTTCTTCTACTCCTTAGAAACTTCGAATAAATTTTCTATACCTCTATTAAAGCACTGAGCAAGCTCAATTCATCTATTTAACAGATACTAAGCAGCAACTGTATACCTAATCCTGGTGATGGAAATTAGAAAAGGCTCACAGCCTCTGCCCTAGACAGTGTCTTTAAGAACATGAGTTTAGTGGTTGGTTCTATTTGATGTTTTTATCCCAACTATTTTCTTTCAAGGATTGGCAGTAGAAAACAAATTATGCTGAAAATATCTTGTTCTGGGGAGCCACAGAGGTAATGCCCCACACAGCGGGTGATTCTAGAGGGTTGGGAGCTGTGGGTTGTCAAGATGGAAACGCCAATACCTATGTATCCTGCATCAGAAACTTTCAGAGAACTTTCACAACCACAATGTCACTAAAGTCCCTCAAAAGGAATCAGCATTTCTCATTTTACAGCGGGGAAAACAGGCCAGAGAACACAAGGTCAACAGAAAGAGTACAGCTAAGACAATCTTTGAACCCAGGTCTCTTGACCTGGAGTACCAAGGCATTGTCAAACCTGGGTGGGATTTGAAGATTAGTTCAACTCCCTCAGTTTTGACAGATAAGCAAACTAAAGCTCAAACCGGGAGAGATCATTTACCTAACCTTCTTGTACAGAAAAGGTGCGTGCAATTGACTGATAGGGCAGCTCCCAACACAGGGTCTGCACTCACCCAAGTGTGGTCATGGTGACAATGGTATACCAGAAGGCCGCGGGGATGCTAGTAAAATTAGTCTTGTTTGTGCTCTTCTCAGCATAAAACATGACAGTGGCGAAGATGATGATGGCCATGGTAAGGGAAAAGAGGAGAAAGCCCAGCTCAGAGGCACAGCTCTTGAGTGTGTAGCCCAGAATTCGCAAGCCCTGTGAGTGTCGGGAGAACTTGAAGATTCGGAACACCCGGAACACACGAAGGGTGACAAAGGCGCCAGAGACATCGTCGTTCTTGGGCACGAAAAGCCCGATGTAGTAGGGCAGGATGGCTACCACGTCTATGAGGCTCATTACACTCCGCAGGAAGCGGCAGCGGCTCGGGGCGGCAAACAGCCGCAGGAGGTATTCACCCGTGAATATGAGCACACAGGCCGTGTCCATGCAGAAAAAAGCCGTCGGAAAGCGTTCGCCACAGGGCTGCTGCTCCCTTGAATGCCGCCGCGCGGGGCCTCGGCATGGGATGGTCTCGACCACGTTGGCGATGACCGACACAGCGATGAAAAAGCCAGTCACGTAGTAGAAGACGAGGGCCGTGGTGCTCGTGTGGGGGTTCTCGAAGGCCCGCCAAAGCTTCTGGCGCAGGGAGCTGCCAGCCCGCAAGGCCGGCCCGTCCACAGCCTGCTCGGCTTCCTCATCCTCTGCTAGGCGCTCAGCGTTCTCCTTCTTGCGGTCCCGGTACTCTTCCAGGCAGCAGTCGCCAACGAGCTCAGGCACCAGGCCATAAAAGGCCAGCTCTTCGTCGAAGGCCTGGATGCACTCATGCCGCGGGCAGTGCAGGCGGCCGGTGCGGTAGAAGTTCAGCACGTGTCGGAACATGTCCGGGTCGCGATCGAAGAAGTACTCGCCCAAGTCAGCATTGTAGAAGAATTCCTTCTCTGAGCTGCCCAGCAGGGTGTCTGGGTAGCGGTCCAATGTGTTCTTCCAGGTCTCAAAGCGGCGTCCGCTCACATTCACCACCAGAACCTCATCCCCTCGAGACGCCTTCACCCCTGGCGCGGGGGGCAGGGGCTGCTGAGCCAGGGGCAGCCAGCCCACCGCAGCTGCCCGTGCAAAAGGCAGCCACGTGGCCACGCCTGCCGCCATCCTGCACTGCCCCAGGCCCTCGGAGACTTGGGGGGTGGCCTTTAGGAGAACGTGGCTGTCTCCAGGATGGTGGGGGCTTGGAGGGGCCCTGGGCCACTCGCACAAGGAAACTGGGGATGTCTAGAGAGGCCAAGAGAAACCTGGAGAAGGAACTAGAGACAGGGGCAGGAGTTTGGGAGGCATTTAGAGGGTCTGGAAAGGACCTGAGTGATGTCTCAAGGGACTGAGAAGGGGCATGGGTACATGGAAAGGAACAGAGAACGGGCGTCTAGAGGGACAGAGAAGGATCCGAGGGAGCGTTTAGAGACCGAGACGATTCTGCAGGGGTCAGCATGTGCCTGAGACATCTGAGGGCGTCTAGTGGGGACAAGAAACACTGGGGAGCTGTCCACACTCTACGGAGTTCTGATAAAAGGAAGAAAGAACTAGAACTATTGAGCTGGGTTGGAGAAGGGATTGGGACATCCAGAGGGGTAGAAATGGGATCAGAGGTGTTTGAAAGAGGCTGAGATCAGAGTCTGGAGGGGAGTTCTAGGGGAGAAAGGTGAGGAGGGTGGTCCACACCCTGAAGACTTATAGGGAAAGGGTGTTGGAGTCCCTTCTTGGATCTAGGAAAGGGCTTGGTGCACCTAAGCGACGTCTACAGAGCCAGGAGGTTGTAAAGAGGCTGAGAGGTGTCTTGGGAGTGCCTAGAGCTGCCAAGAATAGCCTGGGGGGGGGTCTACATTCTACAAGAGTTCTGGGGAAGGAAGGAGAGGTGGGGTCCCTAGTGGGGTTGGAGAAGAGAGTAGGATATCTAATGAGGTAGATAAGGGGCTAGGTTATTTTTCAGAGGCTGAGAGGTATCTGGGGGAAGAGGGGTATCTAGGGGGACTGAGAAAGCCTGGTTCACCCTCTCAAGAGTTCCAGGGACAAAAAAGGGGCTGGGGAATCCTGCGGGGCTGGGGCTCATTTGAAAGAAAGTTGGGCACAGACCCAGAGCACCCAGAGGATCGTAAAAGACTAAGAGGAAAAGGGAGTTCTCCCCAAAATGGGTAGGAGATCGGAGTGGGATGTTGAAAGGGAGTTGGGTGTGTCTCCGAAAGAGGGGATGCTGGGCCTTGCAGGAGGTTGATGAGAGAGGCCAAGATAAGGCTGCGTCCCACTGTCGGGGGCTGGTCTGGGGAAACCACACCCCGAGGGGCTGGTGGTGTGCGCTGGGTAGCAGTAGTAGCAGCAGCGGCAGCAGAAAGAAGAGCAGCAGCCACAGGCAGGCCTGGGAGAGAAGGCAGCACAGACAGGGAAGGGGGCTGGGTCCCTGGAAGGAGGCTCTGGAAGGACAAGGTCCAGTAGGACCGGGGAACTATCTCAGGATGGGCTCAAGCGTGGGGGCTGGACCAGGGAAGGGCAAGGACAGCGCTGCTAGTGGCCCCCACCCATTCCCCACAGGGCCGACCTCACCTGTGTCCCCACTGCAGCAGCGGCAACAGCGGAGGGGCTGGGGGTACCAAACACTGGAGCTCCTGCCCCCCTCTGCAGAGCTGCCTGAGTTCTCCTCCTCCTCTGGCTCTCTCTCCCCGCCCCTCTGAGCTTGCCGGGAGATGGAGAGGCAGGGAGGGGCCTCGTGGCTCCCAGAGCCCCCTCCCCTAGGACTGCCTGAGAAGGACCCTGGGGAGACTCCGCCTCCTACAAAGCTGGTTGGGCCTCAGTCGCGTCATCTGGAAAATGGGGGTGGTAGGGAGCCTTGCCAGTTCTCCCCACCTCCTTCCTGGACTCCCCCCTCTTCCTGCCCAGCTCCTACCCCTCTGCCCCTAGGGGCCCCCACCCCCACCCGTCTGAATCAGCAGCACTTAGCAGATGCGATCGATGGGGAGGCGTCTGTTAATGGCCCTAGAGCAGAGTGCCACGGGGAATGATGCAGCGCTGTGTCCCCTCCCTGCCCCCCCAAGGCTGGAGGAGGTGTGGATGGAGGACTGGTGGGGGGCATTTCTCTAGATTGGCTAGGCCCCCAAAGCTGCTGGGGTGGGGGGCATGGTTTAAAGCCCAGCTCTTAATCAAGACTGCTAGGATTAGAGCGCTGTTGCCCTGCCTTCAAAGATGAAATGGGGGGGTTGAGTGCAGATGGGGACAAGCGAGGTCCCACCCCCATACCAGGTTCCTTCCCAGGCAGGCCCCACACTGAGGGGCAGTCTCCATCTGTCCACATCCAGGAGCCTCAGATCATGCCTCCTCCCCTAGAGGACTCTGATCCTTTGGCAAGAGCACTAGGTACCAAGTGCCTCTGGCATGGATGGGTTCGAGCCCCAGCTTTGCCGACTTGACTTGCTGTGTCCTTGAGCAAGAGACTTGCATTGTTTCCTCCGCTGTCAGATGGAGAGTTACAACTTGATGGTGCCGTTGGGAGCACTGAACGGAGTGATGTGAAAGGGGGTGCACAGGGCATGGCACACGGAGCCCTCATTTTTAGTAATTAAAGGTGTGTGGTGCTGGGGAGCAGTAATGCAGGGCCAATTTTAGTCTTTCAATCTATTTACCTCTATTTCCTAGCTCATCACACTCCCAATTTATCCATTTCTTCATCTCTCCACTGACCCACTCACTCATTCATTTGTATATTTACCCTATCCACCGAACCATTCACCAACCTATCCATATGTAATCTCTTCTGTCCATCCATCCAGAGCCCCGCCCATTATTTATTCACCTTTCTCTTCCCATTCATTAGCTCATCCATCTACCCACTTGTCCATCCAGATATTCCCCTAGACAACCATCTGTCCACTTACACCCCCACCTGCCCGTCCTCTACCTATTCACCTACCAATCCATCTATCCATTTATTCATCCACTCACCTATTCCTCCATCTGTCCATTTACTTCCCAATCTACCCATCATCAAGCCGCACAACCTTCTACTTATTTATCCATTAGTCCATCTAACACTTACCCATCCTCCCATCTGTCTACTCATCCATACCCATACCCCATACACCTCCATATACATATATATCTCAGCTATTTCTGCTATACACAGTTTGAGGGGCTAGTCAACCATAACTGGAGACAGGCTGGGTGAGAGTGAGGGAAGGCGAGTCAAGTTGTGGCCAGAGACCTCCCTCCCCATTCCAGTGGTGTGACCTCACCACTCCCCAGTACATCCCTACTGGTTGGAAAGAATGAGAGCAGACAGTCAGTGGGTGGGCCCGTCTGGCCAGATGGTATTTTGGCTGCACAGCCTTTACACACACACACACACACACACACACGCACACGCACACGTGCACACACACACATGTTGCTAGGAGGTTGAACATGGACCACACCCCACCCAACATCCCCAATCCCAAATGCAGAGTAGCCAGGCTTCCAGACATAAATTAAAAATAAAATAAAATAAAAAAGAGTTGATCTCTGGAAGGGAGAGCTCATGCAGAAATGAAGGCAAATGCCCCTGTGAACCAGGGCCAAGGAGGGCAAGAAATCCTTGCTCCTCCCCTCAGGGTCCTCACCCCCCAGGGACCACTGCCCTAAGACAGGGTCACTAACAACCAGCTATCAGGCCTCCAACCCCTTTAATGTCCAGTCTCCCAACCTATTTGCTTTTGGTGCCGGCCCCCATTTCCCCACTTCAGCTTAAGGGAATGATGTTCTGGGGGTGGGAAGGGGAAGGTATGGGGGCAGCCTGCAGCAGATCTTTAGCTGGCTTCTCCTGGTTGTAGGTCTGGGTCAGGAGACCCCACGCACTCCTTGCTGAGCCGCACAATTTCCTGGGACAGAACTTCCATGTCCTAAGAAACAAATATGCCATCAGGGGCCAGAGAAGGTAGCAGGGGAAGCCTAGGGTGTCAGCCTTCTCACCTCATTAATCAATACTCAAGTAAGTCTAGCCTAGGACAGAAAGGTATTCAGAGAAGTTCACAGAGCTCCCAGCAGTGGGCTTAGCTCAGGAAAGGTGTGTGTGGGGGGGGTGTGGAGGCCCCTGGAGCTGGGGATATGAGTATGGAGGTGGATCTCCTGCTGTGCACGGTGCACTGGAGGATATGACCCCCACCCTCACCACCTTCTTTCTAGTAAATGGTGAGCTTGCTTCTCAGAAGCAGGTGCCAGGTCTGCATTACTTGACTCCCCCAGAGATGGGAAAAATATTTTGGTGGTAGGATGAGCAAGTGGATGTGTGGGTAGATACACGGGGGATCCACAGTAGGCAAATAGGTGGACAAATGAACTAGTCAGAGGACAGATAGAGGACAACAGGTAGGCAGGCAAGTCGTTGGGTGTGTGGGTAAAGCTAAGACGAGGTGATTGATGAGTAGCTAAGAAAGAGAGCAGTAGGTCAGAAAATGGGTAGAAAGATTTGGAGCAATGCCCTGGCCGGTTTGGCTCAGTGGTTGGAGCGTTGGCCTGCGGACCAGAGAGTCCCGGGTTCAGTTCCTGCTAAGGGCATGTACCAAAATAAATAAATAAATAAATAAATAAATAAATAAATAAATAAATAAATAAATAAAAGATTTGGAGCAATCTGGCCAGTATGGCTCAGTGGTTGAGCATCAACCCATGCACCAAGAGGTTGCCGGTTCGATTCCTGGTCAGGACACATGCCCAGGTTGTGGGCCTGATCCCAGTGGGGACCATGCAAGAGGTGGCCAATCGATGTTCTCTCTCATCTATGTTTCTATCTCTCTCCCTCTCCCTTCCTCTCTCTCTCTAAAAATCAATTTAAAAAATTTAAAAAAAAGATATGGAGCAGATGATTAGATGGATAGAGGGCAGATGGACAAATAGTAGGGTGGGTTGATGGGAGAGTTGGGTGACTGTGTGCATGAATGGATGAGTGAGTGGATGGGTGCAAGGACAAAGGGAAGAGCGAACAACTAAACTGACAATAGTAAGTTGACTGGAAGATGAGAAGATGAGGCTGAAGGAACAGTCGGTGAACAGGGTGGGTGGATGTGGGGGACTGTCAAATGACCTAGGGGCTGCATGGCACATGACCTAGGGAGTCAGGTGGCTGCAAGGACAGATGGGCAGGCTAGTAGGCAACACTCGCCTTATGCAGGTGCATATTCTTGGTGAGCTGCTCCTCCAACATGTTCTGTAGCTTCTTGTTCATCTCCCGAAGGTTCTCATCACCTGGCTTCACTAGGTCTCTCAGGACACTGCCCAGCCCGCTGCGGTCTGTGTGGCCTGCTGCCACGGATACATCTGCAAGGTCCCAGGCTGAGAGCTGTCCCCTCAGCACAGCCAGAGGAGAGATGGCCAGAGACAGAGCCGAAAAGAGGGTAACAGAGAGTGGGGGCGAAAAGCGGGGGACAAGCTATATCATGTAGGGGACAGAGACTTAGCCATGTGAACCCTGGCTGTCACTAACTGTGCAGTCCTGAGAAATAGGGATAATAACTAACTCATAGAACTAGGAAAATGTATATGACTGCATGTGAAGCACAGAGCACAGTCAGTTCAGTACATGTCATATCTGTCATTATTATTCTGATTCATAAGGAAAAATGGGAGAGAAGAATGTTTGAAAGAAGGAAGCAAACAAAACAAAGAGGGAAGGGATAAAGAGGAGAGGAGAGGAAGAGAAAGAGGAAGGAAAAAGGCGAGGAAGAAATAAGGACCCCAAAGGGATACACATACAGAAAAAGAAAATTTCTGGAGATGGAACAATATAGACAGGAACAGTGTGACAAAATGATGGGGGAATGGGGCAGAAAGAAGAGACAGGGAGAAGAGAGAAGAGGGAGAGAGAAGAAGAGACACAGGGAGAAGAAAAGAGAAAAAGAGCAGAGAGACACACTAGAGAAAGAAGAGTGGAGAGATGACAGATACCTGGAGAAGAGGGAAGAGCCAAGATAAGAGACAGAACAAAAAGACACACAGGTATGGGCCTGCCCTGCTGTCCCCTCTGCCAACTGCAGTCTTGTCAGTAACTTTGCTGAGTTCCAAGGGGAGACCAGAGAGAAGCCTAGGCACTGTACAGTGGGGAAGGATGGAGCAGGTGAGAGGCTGGATGAGCAGTGAGGGCTGGGGAGAGGGCACTGACCGATCCGGCTGTCCATGACGTAGGTCTCAATGATGGCACTCTTTCGGCAGAGGTCCTCTGCCATGGAGGCGCTGCTCACCTCCAGATGCTTCACCTGTGGGGTGGTACAGCCCACCTCAGCCCCCGTGACTGCACATGTTCACACATGGGGAGGGGCTGGCCAAACATCAACCACCCCATCCCCGTCCTCCTGGCCATGTAGGGACAAGCAGATAGACAACACCTTCTCCTCCAGCATCCATTTCTCCTGCTGCGTCTCTGCCAGGCGCTGAAAGAGCTCAGCCACTTCCTCATCTGACAGCTCTGCTGGCCTTGGGGGCTGGGCCTGAGGGCTGCTGGATAAGGACTGCAGGGAAGAGGAGGGGAAAGGCCAGCTTGGCTCAGTGTCGTGGCCCCAGACAGGATCAGGGCTGAGAATGAGAACTAAGCCGGGAGTGGGGAGGGTAAGCTCTGCACCCATGGCTGTAGGTGAGTCTCGGCACCCTCAGAGACTCTGGATCCCCCTTTTCCTAAAGGGGGAAA